TTCAATGAATTTGTATTATGAGATGAAATATTAAAAAAAATTGTGTAATTATGTAATTAATTTCATACCTTCAATTGTATTACAAGTATGGATTATGGAAAATTTAAGTAGGAAGTTGATAAAAAAATATTTGTGTAATACTATATATTTAAAGGACCTACTTATTATTTATTATTTAAGATAAGATTGTGATCTCAACAATCTAACTATAAATTAATATTTATATTTATAAAAAATTTCATTTATCATTTAAATTCTTCAGCCGAGTATGTATTCAATACAGATCAATTTATCCCTTCAAGTCTCCATACTTTGTATACATATCACATAACAATTTAAGAATACTCATAATTACAGTAGTAACAGTTGTTGAACAATCATATGTCACGTGCAACATATATGCCCGATGACTAATAAAAGTAAAAACACAATATGTAACGGCCCCAAAATGCGTGTCACAAGGATCGTTATGTAATTATGAATTAATATGATTTAATTTGGAAATATCTATCTTTGGTGGGGCTACGACTTCGGAACTGAAATTAACGAACTTAATGGGTTCAGAAACTGAAATTGAGTACATAGATAATAGGAATTTTTAGCGCCATTTGGGAAGTTTAATTGAAAATTGATTTTGTCTAATTCACTAAGTTGTATTTGGCTCATCATTTATACAAATTATATATGTCTTTATGAGATATGAGCATATATGAGCTTTTCTTTATCAACTAAGAGCCTAAAATATCTTAAGAAAAAGAGAAAGAAGAAGAAAGAAAAAGAGAAACCAAGAAGAATGTGTAGAAATTGAAGGAGAGGCTCAAGATCAAGCTTGTATTCAACAAGATTATGCAAGATTAAGTAGCTATGAAGGCCCTAGGTAGGAATCTAACTCTCAATTCTTGAAGATTAAGTGTTATGGAGTTGGATTTATGGATTATGTGTGAGTTTTGCATGTATTTTGCTATAAAATGTTAAGAACATGTTATACCCTCACGCATGGCATAGATTCATGAAAATCATGTTCATAAATTTGTTTTTGTTGCATGATTCTTAAGATTTTAAAATAAACTCCATGGATTTCAAAGATTGGAGCTCAATTTGCATAAATGATGATTTTGTATTTCAACTCAAGGGTTTGAATGTTTTGTATGAAATTTAAGCTCCACTTTGTAGTTATAATTTTGTTTCAAACTGGATATGTTACATTCAATATGTTTGTGAAGAGTTTGCATGATTTCCATGATATGAAGTTGAATTTGGCAAAGGAAAAAGGGTCCATGTTTTTAGTATTTTTGTTCTAAAATTTTACCCAAACTGTTCAAGCCGCCCAAGCTACAGCTCAAGCGACCAAGCCTTGATCGCCCAAAATTGCATACTATTTTCTGCCGCACGTGCGGCCAACAAGGTAGTTTTTTTGTTTTGATTTATTTCTATTTTTTCAACTTCCTAGCCCTGTTTACATGGTTTTCAAGTGCATTTCATATGCATTTCATGATCATATAGGAAGTTAGAACGAATTGGATTAACCGACTGAATAAGTAACAACTAAATACGTTTAAGGACTGATGGACCGATTGCGTGTGTAATGCTAAGATTTGTATTGTGCTATGCATATTTGTGATTGTAGGTCATAAGTCGATGACCGACTGACTGTTTCTAGAAACACATTGTGAGTAACATTTCTGTAAAGATATATTGATATGCACTATACTTGAAATGTTATACGAAATGCTATATGATATGATATGTTTCTGAGATGTGACTTTGATTCTGTGAACGAATATCCTGGTTTGCGAATCTAGTATGGCGTCCAAGGATAGTCCCAAGTCATGAGGAACGACACGTTAGTGCGGGTCTATAACATATATATGATTACGAGATCTCGTTAGCTACTTCATTGTGGTGATATGTGTTTAATTGGTGTTCGGGACTGATTACTCTAGTCGGAAGATGTTGCGAAATATTCCTTTGGATGTACCATTATTATACTCTGATATGAGACTAATATGATAGATATGTATAATCGATTTTCTGTATATGATATGATTTGGAATTTGTTCACTAACCTCTTTACTTTAATGTTATTCACTGGGCTTTAACTCACTGTTTGTGTGTATATATATATATATGTAAATGTGAGCGTATTGGAGATCAAAGCTAGATGGGTTCCTTTCGCTGAGCCACTTGTTGAAGCTCTATTGAGTTTTTGGTGCATCCGAGTTGAGGCTAGGTCAAGAAGACCGTTGTATAGTTTGTGATCCTATTGTCGGGCGTTTGTTATATGTACATGAATGATATTTTTGTTTCTAATATTATGTGTTGTTCAGTGGATAAATTAATATTATATGCATCTGAGTTTGTTCGTATAGATTCACAGTTTAATGGATTATTTGTTGTATTTATGTTATAAGCTTCCGTTATCCCCGATTATTTTGCTTTGTACAAGAAAGCCTTTGGTAATCACATACGTGGCGGGGTTCGGGTCATGACACAATATGAGATACATTCTATTAAATTTAATATATTTTTATTAAATTAAAAACTTATTTTTTTAACTTAGTCAATGTAATGGGATTTGGGATGGCTGTTATGCGGGGTGCACAACAGTCACTATTGTGCAACTCAATGGGCCAATTTCGGAGGCAATTTCGATAATTCAAACCGTTCACATTTTAGAATACATCAAGTTAAACATACATGCAAAAAATCAAGTTAATCGGAGGTATGTTCTACATAATGAAAGGGTAAACGATATCCGATTAACTTAATTTTTTATAGGTATATTCTATTTGATATATTCTAAAATATGAACGGTTCAAATTATCAAAATTGACCCGTTGAACTGCACAATAGTAACTATTGTGCACCCAACAGCCATCCCAAATCCAGTGTAATGGGCCTTGTTAATTTTTCCTTTATGGCACATGTTATGTTATGGCTTAAAGAAATTGCACATTATTATTACACGTGCTTTCGTGTAAAATATATAATTTAAAAAAAAAATAACATATGGACTAAAAATACACGTTAACAAATCCAAGGGATACTAGAATAAAAGTCTTTCTACACCACAAGAAAAGAGCCCAAATAACACGGAACTTTTTGTGACGGTATAGGTACCGTCGCAAAAAATGGTCTTTTGCGACGGCATTTTCAGGCCGTCTCAAAAAATGGTTTTTTGCGACGGCATTTTCAAACCGTCTCAAAAAATGGTCTTTTGCGACGGTGGTGACCCCGTCGCTAATGAAAATTTTTCTATCCCGCTCATTTTAGCCTATTCGCGGTCATCTGTTTCCCCAAAATCCCCAAACCTTTTTGAACCAACCCAAAATCCCTAAAAACTTTAAAACCAAAATCCCCAAAACCATTTGGAACAAAATCCCCAAAGCCCTTGAGCCAAAATTCAACGACGGTGACGGACGACGGTGATCGACGACGGCTAGCAGCGAGGGAGCAGCGAGTGACGACGGCGACGGCGAGTGACGACTGTATGCCCCCCCTCTCTCTCTCTCTAATTACATCCAAAGCCCTCTCATTTTTTTGAATATATTTTTTTCTCCATTGTTGTTTGGGGGTGTCATTGGTTTGAAACTGTGCCTAGAGGTGACCAGGTCTTCTTTCTTTTCCTCTCTTGATTTTCTGTTTCCGTTTCTGTTTTCTGATGTTGATTGCAATGCATGTGTTCTGTGTCTGTATGTCACTCAAATGCTTTATTAATTTCCATGATTTTCTTCACATTTTGGTTTCCTTTTTTCACCTTCCAGATGTTGATGTTATTGCCGTTTGCTTATTTTTTTGTTTATGGATCTTGTGATGCATTCAATTATTTTTTTAAAAATTTTTTATTTCTTTTTTGTGTTGTTTGATTTTTGACATCTACACTAAGTATGGCGTTGGGTTTATATAATAGTTAGATAGTTAGATAGATAGTTAGATATAATCAAATAATCAATGCAATTAAGAGGAAGTAGTAGAGAACACAATGCTTCAATTGTTTTTTGTGGTGATTGGTAGCAAGAGAGTGAAATTTATTCGAATTTTAATATTGAAAAACCTTCAATGACAATACCTGAATAAATCACGACTGATTCTTGGTTGGAATGCTAGAATTTCGCTATTCCAAGAAAGTATTTTTTGTGAAATAGGATTCTGTCAATACTACTGATTTTTTTTCTGGTGGTTTTGTATAGTTGGGTCTTAGGAAGTGTGGTTCTGGACTTATTTTCTTTTGTGGATTTTATTGATTCTTTACATGTCTAAATGTAGGTTGGAGTGGGGCTGGTTGTGGCTGTATTTGTAGCATCATCTTGATGCTCTTTTTCTAATAAAATGGTTACTCTTTAATTATCAAAAGAAAAAAAAAAAAGAAAGAAAGAACTGAAGCATAAAGTTCCATTTCTGATCAATGTGTCAGATTGACAGAATAATCTACGTTTATGTTGCTGGTGGTCTTGGTACAATAATTCTTTGCACTAATTAAATTTGAATCATCACTAGAGCATATGGCTAAAGTGATTTGTTGAATGATACTGACATTGGCTGTGTGTAAATGCCATTGACAGTGCTGAATTGCACCTAGAAAGGAGTCAACTTGCCACTTTTGACTAGAGTTTTTTTTGTTTTGTTTTGTTTTGTGTGTTTAATTCTTGTCCTTGAGAACAAGGAATGGAATGACAGAGAACAAAAATTGTTACAATGCAAGAGATGAGGACTTAGACTTTATTCTATGTTCCTCTCTCTCTCTCTCTCTCTCTCTACATATATATATATGGCGATGTTGTTGACTTGTTTTTTTTATTATACTGCCAAAGTACCCCAGTAATAAAATAAAGTCAGTAGTATTGACATTCTTTTCTTCAAATCGCAATTGACACAGTTCAATTTTTATTTAATTAGTGATGAAAATTTCATGGTTAAAGCAATTTTTGGGTCACATGGATTTCGATACCTGTGAAGCTAGTTGTGTCTTCCTTTTCAATTTTTGCACTTTCTACTGTAGTCTGGTGAAGGTCAAAGGGGAGCGGTTGGTGACTATAACAATCTTAAATACCCAAAACTTGGAGATATGCTAGATTATATTCTTAAACAGCGGCCAGCATTACTAGAGGCCACAGAAATGAGGGAGTCAAAGCTTCTTTTCCCTTCAAAAACATATGTGACTATGATCAAATTTCTGTTGAAATGCTTTGAGGCAGATGCAGAACAATACGGGACAGTAGAAAGAATTCTGGAGTATTGGCCTTCAGTGGAGAATATGTGTTTGCTACTGGAACATGCTATGGCATATGAAGGCTCTGTTGAGTTGCATTCAAATGCCTCCAAGGCACTAATCACAATTGGAACTTATTTTCAAGAGGTTATTTCGGGGATTTCTTTTGCTTTCTTGTTTAGTTTGTATCTCCTAGTTGTGTCTTCCTTTTTAATGAATCATTTTCATCCAGATGATAGCATCACGCTATGCCATGAAAATTTCATGGTTAAAGCAATTTTTGGGTCACATGGATTTCGATACCCGTGAAGCTATAGCACGTTTACTTGGAATTGCTTCCCATGCTCTTCCTGTGTCCGCGCTGCCTGATCTTATTGGCGAACTAATTTCTTCAGTTTCTGCAGCACATAAGTTAAGGTTTGTACTATTTTTGTTTTTCCATCAATTTTTGCATCTACTTTGAGGTCACTATCGCAGTATTTCTTACTGTGAGTTTTTTTTTTGTTTTTTTAACATTTGTGTAGGTTTGAAACACAGCATGGGGTGTTGTGTGCATTAGGATATGTTACTGCTGCTTGCATGACAAGGACGCCTACTGTAAGTGTCAGTTGTAATGTTGTTTTTCTCTCCCTTTTGCTTACAATCATATCCCATTCTTGTAGCATGTACATTAAGCAGGTTAATGATTTCATAACTACTTGGATTATAAAAAAACTTGGATTTTCTGTAGTAGGTTTTATACCTATTTGTTAAAATTTACCATCACCTACCACCAATTTACCATCACCTACCACCACCTATCACCTACCACCAATTTACCATCACCTACCACCACCTACTCCTCACCTACTACACTCACCATCTCCTATATAATGAGCCACTCACCATTTGTAATATATATAAGAACATTATATCAATCAATAATACATCAGTTTTTCTTACACTATTGATGCATGCTATGAAATTGGTTGTCTTCTTTTGCTTGGCTTGGCTGAACGTTAACTTGTTAAACTTTAATCTCTCTCATGATCTTCTTGCTCCTAAACTTAACCTTGGAAAGAAGCCCTTAAATGATTCCAAGTCAAAAGAGGCTATGGTAGAAGAGGTAAAATTTTGAATAAGAATTAGTTCTCAAAACAAAAATAAATAAATAAATAAATAAATTTGAATAAGAATCATACTTGGGAGTTTGTTCATCTTTCAACTGAAAAGAGACTAGAACTGTAAGTAGGTGTTCATTGTTAAGTAGAAAGTGGATGAGACAATTTTGTTTTTATCAACAACAAAAATTTTATTGATTAATCAAAAAAAGAGACGAGGATGAGGCATCCTCAACAAAAGAGAATCAAAGAAAAGAAAGTGGAGTAGACAATAGAGAGATACAATGCAAGACTTGTTGCCAAGGGGTCTGCTCAAGACTTATGGTATTGATTGGCAGGAGACCTTTGCCCCTGTGGCAAAGATGAATTCAATTTGGGTTCTTCTTTCTTGTGCAACCAATCTGGGTTGGCCCTTTCAACAACTAGATGTGAATAATGTATTTCTTCATGGTGATTTGGAGAAGGAAGTATGTATGGATGTGGCACTGGGATTTTCATCTCTATCCACTGTTGGGAAGGTTTATAGATTGAATAAAGCCAATGTTTTGAAAAGTGGTTGCGGTGGTGCAGTTGCGGTTGTGGTGTGTAAAGACTGTAGCGTAACAATTGCGGTAACCAGAACCGTGATTTTTTTTTTATTTTTCGCACAATTTGAAGAAAACTTACCGATACGCAATTTTTTTTTTTTTTTTTTTTTTTTTTTTTTTTTTTTTTCAGAATCACATTTATTGGGGTTTAAAATAGATTTAGAACAATTTTTGTTAATTTTTAACTATGATCCAATATATTTCATATTTTCAACTCATTATGAGCTTTTTATATTTTATTTCAATAGTTAATTACTTTAAGAATAATTAATTTTAAATGTCTACAAATTATTTTTGACCATACGTGAATTAATTGAATAAAAAATATTCACAATTATTAAATGAAATGATTATAAAAATAAAAATTGTGCCATAAACAAAAATTATTTTTGAGGCACTTTTTTAGACAATTTATATTAACTAAATAAAATTATTTACAATTTAGTATTAAATGAAGTGATTATAAAAATAAAAATTGTGCCATAAACAAAAATTATTTTTGAACTATTGATTTTATTTATTTTTTTAAGGACATTTTTTAGACAACTCATTACAGTAACAAAATAAAAACTATTTACAATAAAATAATTATAAAAATAAATACAACCACTACTTATATATATATTTTGTTTTACATGCTAATATAATGAAAAAAAAAATTATAAAGAAAAAAAATTCATATAAAATTTTTTCTTTGAGTTTGGATCACTTGAGTATTTGTTCAATTTTTGTAAGCTTTCGTTATTTTTTTTTTGAGAAAGGAAGCTATTTAGAACATTGTAGAAGGGTGTAATGGTGTGTAACGGACCATTATGGCCGTTACGATACTGCTAGGACCGTTATGTAACATCGAAATGGCCGTTACATATGTGAATTTTCGTCACACCGCTATAGTGGCTTTAATGGGTGGCAGTAACCACCACAACCGTTACGTAATGGTTGCGGCCGTTTTTAAAACCTTAAAAAAAACACTTTATTTTATTTTATTTCATTTTTTTTGATAAATAAACAAACTTTATTAGAGAAGCATCAAGGCGATGAAAAGAACATAAAAAGAACAAAACCCATAAAGGGCCCAAAACAAAACTAACTAATTAATTCCTTCAAAAAATCAACAAATATCAAAACATGAGGATCACTCAAACCGTAACCCAACTATGAAGTACCCACAATAAGACGATTCTCTAACCACGGAATTGAATGGGCAATACCCTGAAAAATATGGCTATTACGCTCCAACTAACCAAAGCAAACAATGAGAAGCAAGTAACCATGCCTTTCATTGCCTTTGCCCGCCCCCCCAAACTCTGCAACACCACAAATAAAGACTATACCTAAGCCAAAACAAAAATAGCCACAAGCAACATCCAAAGTCACGAAGTTATCGAACAATAAATAAGCAAGTGATCCACCGTCTCTGCAACTACACAACACAAACAACAACAATTTACCAAAACATGTCTACAACGAATAAAGTTATCAATACTCAAGATACATCCCATGAATATCGTCCAAACAAAGAACGCCACCTTAGACGGTGACCCTGGCACCCAAATGCACCTCCAGGGAAAGCCAACTGCATCACCACCCGCAAAGCCTGATAAAATGAGGACACTGAAAAAATCGCTTTAGATCTTGGACAATTCCATACCAAAGTATCCACTGCATCCCCCTCTAAATGCAACTCATACAGAAAACCCAATACTCCACCACCAACTGCTCCAACTCCCAATCCTGCACAGCATGATGCAAATGAACATTCCAAACAAACCCCTGCCCCTACTACCATCTCCTCAGGATAAAAAACAATAGCATAAATCAAAGGAAACAACCTCGCCAAAGACAAACCACCACACCACCTATTTTGCCAAAAGCGAACCCTATCTCCTATCCCTAGATTAAACTGAACCCAACCCCATAACTCCTCATAGCCCAATCAAATCCCCTTCCATAAGCCACGACCATGGGAATGGCATATCCTACCCGAAGACTGAACCCAACCCCATAACTCCTCATAGCCCAATCAAATCCCCTTCCATAAGCCACGACCATGGGAATGGCATATCCTACCCGAAGACTGAACCCAACCCCATAACTCCTCATAGCCCAATCAAATCCCCACCACCACCTTCCTCCATAATATTTTCCTCTCTTCCACAAAATACACAAACATTTCCCAAAAGAGACCGATTAAATAAAACCAGCTTCCTCACACCCAAACCCCCACTCTCCTTAGAAGTACAAACCCTCTCCCAAGCCACCAAATGATAATGAATCCCCCACCACTCCACGGAAAATTTCGTTGTAACTTTTCCAATCGCTTAGCAACCGCCACAGGAATCACATGCACCAACATAATGTAGGTCGGAATACTAGACAAGACACTCTTAATCAGAGTGGTCCACCCTCCTTTGGACAGGTACTGATGCTTCCACCCCGCCAACCTCCGTTGCACCCAATCTACCATCCCATCCCACACTCTCCTTGCCTTGAAAGTCGCCACCAAAGGAAGGCCCAAATATGAAACCAGAACATTTACCACCTTACACCCCAAAACTGCTGCCAAAACTGGAATACGATCCATTGCACCAATTGGGATCAACTTTGACTTGGTGAAATTGACCCGCAGCCTTGAAACTGCCTCAAAACACAACACACACCGAAGTGGCCTAGCTTAACTGCATTTGCATCACAAAAAATATGCGCATCATCCGCATAGAAAAGATGATTAATCCCCAAAGCATTTTGTCCCTTCCCCACCTCGAAGCAAGGTAACAAGCCCCTATGGACCGTAGTGGACAACAAACAACCCAACGCCTCCATCACCAAAATAAACAACAGAGACAATGGATCCTCCTGACACAAACCCCGCCGTGTAGGAAAAAGTCCCGCCGGAGTACCATTTACTAAAACTGACATCCGTACAGTAGAGATGCAAAATTGAACCCATTGTCTCCATCTATCCCCAAAGCCCATCCACTGAAGCACCCAAAGCAAAAACTGCCAATTCACATTATCATATGCCTTTTCAATGTCCAACTTACAAATAATCCCGGCCTCTCCTTGCTTCAGCCGTGAATCCACACACTCATTAGCCACAAGCACAACATCTAGGATCTGACAACATCTTACAAATGCATTCTGCGACTTAGACACCACCCCTCCAACACAACCCGAAGCAGTGTTTTAAAAGGCTCTAGGCACACTGAAGCGATAAGGTCTCCTATAGCCTAAGAGCGAGGTGTGAGGTGAAGCACGCCTCACCAAAGCGAAGCGCAAGTAGTAGAAGAAAAGCAAAATTATAAAATAGGCAAACTTTTTAACATAACAAATATATATAGAATTTCAAAAATTATAACCATTTCTAATAATCTTTAAACATAACATTCAATCTTCTAAAAACTAGAAATATAATATCCAACAAAAGATATAATTCATAACATTCAATCTTTTATCACTTTTTGCTCTCTTTTGATCACGTTTGGTCATTTTATATTGAAGAGTTTTGAATCCCTATGGGAATACCCACAAAAAAGCACTTAATCAGCAATTAGAGTAGAAAAATGGGTAAAGCTTATGAAGCCCACACCTCACGCCTCGGAAAAAACCCTTGCCTCAGCGACTAAGCTACGCCTTACGTATTGCGTCTCACCTCGACCTATTCGAAGCACAAGGTTGCATCTCATTGCACCTCGCGCGCGCCTTTTAAAACACTGCCCTGAAGCCTATTAGCCAAAACCTTAGCCAATAACTTATATACACTGCCCAAAACACTAATTGGCCTGAAGTCTGTAATGTCTTCCGCCCCTCCTTTCTTCAGGATCAACACTATAAAGGTCGCATTTAGACTCTTCTCAAATTGCCTTGTTTGATGAAACTGCTCAAATAAAGCCATCACCTTAGCTTTCACCACCCCCAAACACTGTTGTAGGAACGCAATAGAGAAACCATTAGGCCCCGGCTAAGTTACACGGACTCGGGTACGAGTATCGGGTACGGGTGTGTATCTAGGGGTCGGACACTTTAAAATTAAAAATTAATGATACGTGGATATGTATCCAAATTCGGATACGGGTACGGGGATACGTTAAATAGTTTTTTTAAAAAATATATATTTATTATAACGTAGACATGGGACACGACAATTTCTAAAAAATGGGAATACGGACACGACAGGGGATACGACAAATTTTTTAATTTTTTTTATAAATATTTTTATTTTAATATATATTAATTATTTTATTTATTTATTCTATTTTTTAAATAATGCGTTTCAATTAATTTTTTTATTTTATTTTACATACATGTATTTATTTTTTTGTTAATATATATAAGTATATATTATCTTATAAATATATTATATGTTATATAATAATTATTATGTAATATATAATAATAATAGTTATTATTATAGTTATTATAATAATAGTTATTATTATTTATTATTCAGTTCCTTAACTATTATTATTAATTAATTTTGAAGTATCGGATACTTAATTTTGAAGTATCGGATACTCGAAGTTACATATTACTTATAATATTTTGTTTAGTTCTTTGATAAGAGGAATATAGTAAGAGTTAAAGTAATAGAATTTGTCAAATTGATGTATCCTTATTGTCTCTCTCGCTTTCTCACTCTCTCACGTTTCTTGTCTTTGCTCTCATTCTTTTTTTGGTGTTGGCATATAAGGATGATGTTTAATTTGCATTTGCTTTTGTTTTTAGTTTTAGATGTTTTATGAATGTTTGAAGACTTTTAGGTTAATAGGAATCTCTCTCTTTATTTATTAATTTACTTTAAGTTTTATTTTCATACATATTACATTATTAAAATTATAAAAATATTTTTTTTTTTTACAAACGTATTCCTGTCGTACCTGTATCATACTTTTTCAAATTTTGATGCATCCCATATCCATATCGCCATATCCGTATCCGTATCCGTATCCGTGCTTCCTAGGTTATCATTGATGACCTAAAAAAGTATATTTGTTGAAATTTTTATTTAATAATGGTTTTTTAGCTTTAACTAAGGTCCTGTGATATTCACTAATGAAGGGGAACAAGTTGAAGCTATTGACCTTGAAGACTCTTAGTTTTATAGGAATCTTTCTTTTTTTATCAAGTTGTCTTTTGTTATAGGTTTTATTTTTATGCATACTGCATTATTAAAAATTGTAAAAATAATATTTTTACGAACGTATCCCTGCCGTACCCGTATCCTAGTTTTTCAAATTTTTCCGTATCGCCGTATCCATATCATATCGTATCCGTATCCCGTATCTGTATCCGTGCTTCCTAGATAATAATAGTTATTATTATTTATTATTCAGTTCCTTAACTACTATTATTATAGATAGATAGATACGAATAGAGATATGAATCAAGAGACAGAGGAACGACAGAGAGAGAGAGGGAAAGAAAAGCGAAGCCATCGATCGCGATCGCGAGAGAGAAGGCGAGAGAGAGAGAGAGAGAGAGAGAGAGGGGGGGGCTTTTCGAAGTCTTCTGGGGTGTTCGACTGTTCGATCGACTGATGGAGCTTCGATCTTCGACTGGATCGAAAGGATGGAGCTTCGATTGGAGGTCTTCGATCTTTTACTGGATGGAGCTTCGACTGGATCGACTGGATAAAGCTTCGACCAGGTTCTCTTTTGCTCTCACCTCTTTCATTTCTTTTGCTCTCTGTGAAGAGCCGTGTCCGAGAGAGAACAAGCGAATCCGACACAGATCCCACACCCGCACCCGTGTCGTGTCGTGTCGACACGGATACTTCGGCCCAAAGTGCCGAGTCCATGTAACACAGGGCCCTCGTACCTTATCTCCGGGCATGCTCCTCAACGCATCGAGCACCTCCTTTAAAAATGGCCTCTAACATCAAACTATTCGCCTAAGAAATAGTATCAAACTCCACCCTCTCCAAACCCAGTCTCCACACATCCCCCTCATCCTACAACAAATGCTGAGAAAAACCCACAATGCCAGCCCTAATATTCTCCTTCGATGATAGAACCTCACCATTAACCTTCAACCTCCCTATCTGGTTTGCCTGCCGATGGGCATTCGCCATTCGATGAAAAAACTTCATATTGCGATCCCTAGTTTTCAACCACAAACATCTATATTTCTGTCGAAAGCTAATTTCCTCCATCTGAGCAACCTACTCATACTCCTTCCGAGCCCCATCCCGATGAGCCAAGTCCTCTTCAGAAAGACCCCCTCCAGCCTCCTTCTCATCTAACCCCTGCATCTCTGTCAGAATGTTTACCTTTTGAACCTCCAAACTACCAAACACCTTTGCATTCCACCGTTTCAAATCTATCTTCAGAAGCTTCAACATTCGAAAGTTGATTGTATTTCTTCTTTTCACTTTATGGATTGAACAATCTCTTAGAAATTGGAGAGTTACCGAAATTTCGGGAGGCGACTTTATGGATTGAACAATCTCCTAGAAATTGATTTGATAGGTTTCTTAAGGCTATGATGAGGTTTGAATACATGCTAAGCCTGGCAGACTATGCCATGTTTGTCCATTGGAGGGGAATCATTTGTTTTTTATTGGTACATACAGATTGGAGAGTTGTTTGTATTTCTTTTTTTCTTTTTTCTGTTATTTGAATCTTTCAGTGGACTTCTTGTCCCATGATGTAATCCTTTTCATTAACAAACATTACATGTTGCTTATCAAAAAAAAACTCCGGACAAAATTGCCACTGAAACAGAATTGATGCAAAGGGGAAGCCTCATCTCAATGGCCACTAGAAAGAATTCTGAGCCCTGATCTACCTCACTTGACTCTATGTTGACGCTTGACAAAGGAAAGCAAAGCAGGCAAGACAACAAGGCTTTCTTGGGACATGATCATTAAAATGTAAATTGGAAAGAATACAATGAATGATACTCGTTAGATATATAGCTTGAACAAACTTTTTAGGTGCCACGATTTCATGTTGGGTCTTCACTTGGCAGAACGTGCTAATCCTGAGAGTCTGAGACATTGTATGGTGTGGGAGGTGCATCTTATTCACTCATCGTTCATGAAGTTTCTGCAGAGCTTTTACATGGATCCTTAGAAGAATTGAGTATATTTACAATGTTGTTATATTGTTTCAGCAGAAAAACAAATTACAGAGCTTTTAATTGGATGCTTAGAAGAATTGAATATATTTAGAATGTTGTTATGTTGTTTCAGCAGAAAAGCAAAATGAAAGTTTTCCTTGCGTGTAGTTACTGATATTGAGTTCGTACCTAATAGCAAAAGTTGATTGAATTTTAGAGTCTTTTAAAACGTGGCATATATTTTAGAAACCAGCCCCATTGAGCAGAGTGATTTTTGAGTTTAATAATATTCAGGGGAGCAGAGGCTATTAAAACCAAACCATCACAGGCTTGATGTGTCCACTGATAACCATCCCATCTGTGCCCCAATCCTGGTTATCACTGTATTATTTTCTAGGCTGGTTGGGCTTGGTTACCTGTTTTATTCATCGCTTTGCCATTCCTATTTTTCTTGAAATTCTGGACATTCTTTTTTCTGTTCTTCCCTCTTATTTTGATGCCTCAATCTGACATTTTTAATACTGAAACCATTACAAATGCCTGGTAAAAGATATAGCCCCAAACTTTAAAAAGTGCTGTGTTCTAGTAATTGGCATGCCCATGTATTTTTCTTTGTTCCAATAACAAATGAAAAAAAAAAAAGAAAAGAAAATTGGCGCTTAAATTTTCTGGTCTTTGGTTTCATTTTCTTAATCTGTGAACTGAATAGTCTTTGTTATATTGTAGTACATTTCATTTCTTTATCTTAACCTTTTCTTCTTCTTCTTCTTCTTCTTCTTCTTTTTCTCTTTTCTTCTAATGAGATGATTTCTGACATTTATTTCCTGACAGGTCTCAGAATCATTGCTCCAGGCTACAGCAAAATACCTGGTTGATATCGTTAACTCTGAGACTGCTACAATGGCTTCTGTTGCAATGGAAGCTCTAGGTCATATTGGACTACGGGTCCCTCTGCCTCTGCTTCAGGACTCTAATTCAGGTGAAAGTTCTTAAGTTGCTGTTATAAGCTTATTGGTTTTACATGCATTTTGAACTATGTGGAAGTGATCTTATTCAATTACTGTTTACACTGCAGGTGCCATCTTATCAGTCTTGCATGAAAAGTTGACCAAGCTACTCTCCAGCGATGATATCAAAGCTATCCAGAAAATTGTTCTCTCCCTGGGTCATATGTCTGTAAATGAATCATCCTCTTCCAATCTAAACATCGCCCTTGATTTGATTTTCAGTCTTTGCCGTTCAAAGGTAGGCAAAAAATTCGTCGGGTTGTTTGGAAATCTTTTGTTATTCATGTACAATGAGTTTTTAGCATGGCTCTCCATAATAGTAGAAAAGCTTTCACTTCCTGCACATTGGGTTTGCAGGTTGAGGACATCCTGTTTGCAGCTGGCGAGGCTCTCTCATTTTTGTGGGGCAGTGTTCCTGTGACTGCTGATGTGATTCTCAAAACCAACTATACTTCACTTTCCACAAGTTCAAACTTTCTAACAGTAGATGTGTCTGCATCCCTTTCAAGATATAGCTCTACAGAGCCTGAAGCCAATGAAGGTTGTTGTGTCATGGTTAGAAATGCTATTACTAGAAAGCTTTTCGATGATCTTTTATACAGTAGCAAAAAAGAGGAGCGTTGTGCTGGAACCGTCTGGTTACTATCACTGACAATGTATTGTGGCCATCACCCAAGCATCCAACAAATGCTTCCAGATATCCAGGTTTGTCAATAGCATTATAATACATTCAGTATGATGTGGTTGCACTTTACGCTGTATTCAAATTTTGTCCCAAATCGCATCAAACACCCTAGCATTCCTTTCCAACCATTAATTACATATATCATCCTTTTGGGCTTCGGTTCACCCTCCTTTCTTTTACTACTCTCATCTCTCAGAGCTTTCCTTCCTTTGGATATATAACCCTCCTTGTCCTTCCCATTCCTTTTATTATTCAAACTTGCCAAAGATAAACCCATATTTTTTAACAACTGGGTTAAATGAGCCCAACCATTTTGATCATGAGAAAAGGAAGCACTCTTTCTTAAATCTGTCAACCATATCTTATTACTTTCATGATAATCTATAATAATAGTACTTACCCAAAAAAATCTATAATAATAGCAGCATTAGGACAACCCAAACCAGTGGCTGTAAAACAACCAGAAAACAACATGGGATGAGACCCACCCCATTAAGTGCTTTTCTCTTGGAATTAGACATAAAAGGAGGAGTTGGAACAAAAACACCTTCATGAGATGGAGAAGAATCCGTACTACCCTTACCCTCACGTAGATTGGAAAGGTTGTGCAAGTTGTGATTTGTTAAAAGAAAAAATATTTGTATGGTGTTTTCCTTAGCTATAATCAATAAACTAAGCACCAATTTCATAGTAAGATTGCTGAATGACCGAATCCTCCTCATCACCATCTGTGTCACTTATAAATTATGTCTGTATCATCTGATGAATCATCTTAATTGCCCAGGCCAGACAAAGCCTCACTAGCCTCGAAATTGCCTTCTTCCAAATCTCTTAGTTTCTGGGCTTGAAAGAGCTCACAAGATCCCAAGTAACCATCATAAAAAATTTCTCTATGAACATTTTGAAAATTCATATTGTAGGTTTAGGCTGTTCTGGTGGCTAATGTGTGTTTTCCTTGTAAAATGATTTTGTAATGTTAACGTTTTTTTAATCGGCAATTTTGTAATGTTAACATGTCTTTACAAATACCTACTGGTTGTCTTTGATTCTTTTTTGATAATTTTGCTTTCCTATATTTTATTATTAGCAAGTCAACTTTCTTTCAATTTGTAATGTATACTTCATTTATGTATGTGTACCTCAAAGTCACAGAATATGGCCCTAAAAATTATTCCAATGTATGAATCTATGAAAGGCTTGTGTGGTGCAACCTGCACCCTAGTTTTGTCATTTAACTGTTAGTGAGTGTGATGGTTTCTCCATTGTTATCATCGTTGTCTTCTTCTTCTTCTTCTTGAAATTTCCTTTCGATCTTTGTACTATGCTGCTAATATATTATTTGTCGCTATTGAGACTTGTTATCTTTATAGTAATAGTTGTTATAGTTATTGCCATTGTTATTGTTGTAGTTGTTATGATATGTAAATCACACTTTAAGAAGCCCAATCATCTTGCACATATTGAAACCAACAAATTCATCTAGAAAGTCCAGTGAACTTGTAGCTTTTGAACCCTAGTCCCAAATCTCAATTTATCTAAAAGCCTGAATACCTTCTCTGCTTCCTAATGTTTCAAAGAGGCTCTAACTTTGTGAACATATAGGTGAACTACATTATATGCCAATTGCTATACCTATTATGGCTGTTAGATACTGAATCTGAACATGACACTTATTGCTAAATAGATAAGGCATGGAAACTCGTGCCTCGATCAATTTTAAGGCATCCCAACCGTGAAAAGCATGCTTGTTCTTAATAATGTTTTATGATCAGTTCTATTGTTTCCCAATATCAATTGTGTGGCAGCAATTGGAAACATTTGCATGATCTGTACGAACCCACTATTGTGAAAGTCTTTCTAGATGTTAAGACATCTATTACTATCAATTTTTTATTTCAATTTCCTACCAGCATTACAGACTAGAATCAGTCTAAACCTGTTCACATGAATGCAGGAAGCATTTACCCACCTACTAGGTGAGCAAAATGAACTTACTCAGGAGCTGGCATCCCAAGGACTGAGTATTGTCTATGAATTTGGCGATGCTTCAATGAAGAAGAATTTAGTAAATGCACTAGTTGGCACACTAACTGGTTCAGGAAAAAGAAAGAGAGCTGTTAAGGTAATGTCAATTTCCCTTCCTATATCATTTGTTCAGAAAAAAATATCTGAAGTTCTATAGTTTGTTATTTAGCTTGTAGAAGACTCTGAGGTCTTCCATGAAGGTGCTATTGGTGAAAGTCTCAGTGGAGGGAAACTTAGCACTTATAAGGAGCTCTGCAATCTGGCAAACGAGATGGGACAGCCAGACTTGATCTATAAGTTCATGGATTTGGCTAATTATCAGGCTTCTATGAATTCCAAGAGGGGTGCTGCATTTGGGTTTTCTAAGATAGCCAAGCAAGCAGGGGATGCTCTACAGCCACACCTTCGTTTATTGATTCCAAGGCTTGTTCGATACCAGTATGATCCTGATAAAAATGTGCAGGTACACCTCCTTTCTTGTGCTGGAGCAAGTGTTATGTTTATTAGGCTCTGAGTATGATTGCTGTTCAAGTTTCCTCTGGCGTTGATTTACCGCATTCAATATTTGTTGATTATTTTGCAGGTTTCCACATGCCACCACTTACATCGTTTTTCTTTGGAATTTGAAACACCTTGAGAAATTAAATAGCATATCCATTCAACCATAAATTTTGATGACTATTTTCACTATGGTCTTTGCTCACTGCTTTTAGTCGTGCTATGCTTTAGGATGCAATGGCACACATCTGGAAATCACTGGTGGAAGATTCAAAGAGAACAATTGATGAACACTTGGACATTATTTTTGATGATTTATTCATACAATGTGGGTCTAGGCTTTGGCGTTCACGCGAGGCTTCTTGTCTTGCTCTTGCGGATATAATCCAAGGACGCAAATTTGATCAGGTTATTAGCTTCTTTTTAATTATTTATTTGTAGTCTGAGGTAATTTTGTCTTGATGAAATGCCTAATTAGTTAATCATTATAATCTTTTGGAAATTTGAAAACATAACATTTATAAATTATGATTGTGGACCAGACAGGAGTGTTGCATCTAACTGTTACACGGTCTTGGGTAGAACTCACCCCAAAAACTAAGCTATTAAGGTGAGGGTGCCCTCATGCTTATATGCTTAATATTACTTTAGTACCTAGGCGATGTGAGACTTTGTTTCACACCGTCCCTCACGCCCAGTGTACTCACTTGAAAGCACTTGCGGCATGCAAGCCATGGACTGCGTTTCACACTAACATATACAAACATATAGGTGCCAAACACATGAACTCTGCATGGGCCGTGGCTATGTATTTCTGTTTGTGGATTTTAGTTAATATTGTCTCTGTGTTCAGTTCTGCAAAAAAATGGTGAACTGCACTTGTTATTGCTCAATTTTTAAGTTAATGATGGTGGATTTTCTGAGCATCTAAAAAAGGATTGCATCAGTAATCATGTCTGTGATTTTGTTGGACTAGTGACCTACATATGTAGCTTATAAATCTTTTAATGACGTTGTTTCTGGAATTCAGAGCAGATTAACATTTTTTATTCTCCATTTATCAATACAACTGTCTTTTTCTTTACTCATGCATGATATTGTCCATCACCGTGTCCCATACATGTCCACAGCGTGTTGGTGTCTGATACGTGATGTGTCAATTTTTTAAAGTATTACCTTATGTAGGACACTTAGGGGACACTATAGGGACACTATATGGACATGTGTGTCTTGCTTTTGGACACTCCTTATGACACCTATGTGGGTTTTTTTTGCAATTTTAGAAAAATGAATTGGGGTTAAAGTAAATATGTAGAAACAAGTGAGGGGAATAAAATACACCCGCACATTTATTGATGCCTCCTAAAGCTTTGTGCCCTAAATTTATATGATTATAGCCATAGACATATATGTATTATATGTTTTTGTTGTATGCTTGCTGTATTTGTATCCTAATTTTGCAATGTCTATCTCTGTGCTTCTTAGATCTGCACCTGCAGTCATAGCCGAAAATATTTCAAGGCATCCCTCGGATACTAATACTATTAACACTTTTTTTTTGTTGATAAATACTAATACTATAACACTTTTCCTGTCTTATTCAACAATACTAATCATGATCACCTTGAACTATAATGCTTCTAGTGAAATGTTAAGCCACCCTTTTCTGAGCATCTAAAAAAGGATTGTATCAGTAATCTTTTGTGACTTTTTTTTAACTGTTTGTAAAAAAAAAAATTATATATTTACATTATACCCGACTAGACAAATATAAAAAATGAAAAAGAAATTGAAAAATTGAAAAACAAAATTTAAATATAATTCACCCCACCAAAAAACAAACCACTACAAAAAACAAAATTACATTGGAATATGAAAAATACTCAAAATTATTTATAGCTGTTAGACTTCTATTTTACAGTTTATTTATTTATTTATTATTTTTTTTAATGAACAAAATAGCACAATCTACTGCAATCCAACGGCTGATTAATAACAATCCAACGACTGAGATCTATCCTCTAGAATGAACCTCACATATCTCAAGAGAAACCCCAACCCCCTTTCTATCTTGCTCTCATCTTAGATGAGAGCAATCTCTCTCTCTCTCTCTCTCTTCTTCGTTCGAAGAAATATGTAGAGCATGTTCGCTATCAAATTCAACTCTGATGATCTCGAACTAGCAACTTCAAGCAATTCATGTGAGATCTGCTTCTCAGTTGCTTCTACTGAAGCCGAGCACCAAGTTTTAGGACTTGATTCTATTCCTTGATTTGTTTATTAAACTAGAGCATTTAATTTATCATTTATTCAGCTTTACTCGTCTAGATATGACTTCCCTGTTATTGACAAATTGTTATTCTTCAATATCTATTGTTTTAAACTTCAGTTTGATTGATGAGAAAGCAGAGAAAACAATCTGTTGGGTTTAGAGTTCTTAAAAACAATTTTATATTTTAGTATTTTGTTGTATTCAATGAATTTTAAAAAAAAAAAAAAAAATTTGTGTAAATTTTATATTTTTAAGTGTATAGATCTAAAAATTAAAAAAAAAAAAAAAATTGAAAGCATTTGCTAAAAAGTAAAAAAATCTGAAATCGAATTTGGGAGATTTTTCTAGTGAATGTCTTTTCAGCTGAATTTGGAGCCAAAAATCTGTTGATATTTGATGATGTGGCATGTTTGGCACCTACTATTCAACCTACCAAATTTGAGAACAGAAATGGCATCTACTATCTTTGGCAAGAAGAATAGTAGGCCATTGGAGACTTTTTTTGTCACTCTTGCTAAATTTTTTTGTCACTCTTGCTAAATTATGGCTTTGGCAGCTCCATTGGAGATGCTTAGTTCATTATATTTGATAAAAGCAAATATATTTAAAAAAAAAAACTTTTGGGATCACTTTGGATTGCTAAATTTACCATTTTGAATCACTTTGGATGATGTGGCATGTTTGGCACCTGCTATTCAACCTACCACATTTGAGAACAGAAATGGCATCTACTATCTTTGGCAAGAAGAATAGCAGGCCATTGGAGACTCTTTTTTTGTCACTTTTGCTAAATTATAGCTTTGGTAGCTCCATTGGAGATACTTAGTTCATTATATTTGATGAAAGCAAATATATTAAAAAAAAAAAAACTTTTGGGATCACTTTGGATTGCTAAATTGACCATTTTGGAACAAAAATATACTCGGAACATGCGTTCCAAAATGTAATTTGCTAGGTTATCAGCAGTTTAGCGGTTTTTCGTAACACTGTCCGAGTCTATCCTACTTAGTCAAAACCTTATTCCTCTCAAATCTACCTTTCTTTTGAGTGTAATAATCACCAAAAGCTAGACATGTTTGACTGATATTTATCTAATATAAATGTAAGTTTTTCATTTTAACGGATTTCTACCATGAGTAACCCTTCGTGTATTACTTTTGTTTATGATCCACAATCATTTTGAAAACTGTCACATTTTTAGAAATTAAACTGTTCGTTTTTGAAATCAACATAATTTTAAAATGTAGTAATTACTTGAATTGAAGTATATAGTGGAAGTGCAAACAAGTGATTCACCCCGCCCTCCCTCATTGTGAACACTTTCATCTTATAGCCTTCGTTGCTAGAAATTCACCTTTTTCTCTTTTGATGATGGGAAACTTCAACCATCCCACCCTGTCATCTAGTGCAAGGTCTTATGATGAACTTTGGATACGCACAATCACCTGCAAACCATACATATCAATTAAGCCAGAGTATTTTTTGTTCCGATGAGAGTTGCACAAGACCTCATAGAATTACCCCATAGTGGAGCTCCCATGTTCAACCCCATAGCCACTAGGACGCCCGTGTGGGTTACATCAGTTCACCTTGCTAACATGTTAAGCATATCCTTTGCAATGATTTGGAATTGGTCTCTTTTGTCTTGATTTTAATGAATCTTTCATTGAAAACTTGATGATATTTAAATTCCTCAATGTCCCATGACTAAAATAGAGTAATTCTCATTTTTTTCTTTTTATGACATTTCATGGTGTAACTTTGTGTCATGTGCCCTAAATCAATTTATTCAAAATTAAACAAAAAAATAAAAACATAAACATAAACATCCAATGTGAACTGTTTTGTCAGGAAATGCATGGCCTCTCTCTTTACAACCGTCTTGAGTGGTGAAAGATATTTTTCTTTTTCCAACATTTTGACTTCAAAAATAATTTGGCTTCTTTTCATCTATTCTTTCCATTTATTGCGATAGTGTTATTTCTTTGTAGTATACTGTATTATCTAGCAGAACTAATTATCCTCAACAGAGATCTGCATTACACACTTAAGTTGATAGGACTGTTAGCGAGCATCCACTTTGCAGTCACACCCATCATGTTCCATATTTGTACTCACATCCATGCGATTTCTAATTTTTTAAATCTGTATCATTATTTGTGGATGCTTTTTCAGCATGCTTTAAGCCGTGGGTGCTCTAGATTGAGTTCCTACATTCATTTCCAAGGAGAATTTCGTTTTGTTTCCATGAAAATGGCTGAAATATTTCCCTTTCTGAAAACCAAAACAACATAGTTATAGAATTGAAATGTGTAGTCTCTCCATAAAGACACTACAAAATAAATCAAGTGCACTGAAACACACCGAAACAGTAAGTTGTCTTGAAATAAAGTTAAAATATCTAATACTTTTTTTGTTATTAAGTATTATTATTATTCCAGTAAAGTCTAGAGCTTATTTCATTGGGATCTTGTGCACTTTTAGAATCATATAACTTGTGTTTGATTACAATGATTTATTTGGCATTACACAACAAATTTTGACCGAAGTATCATTTACTTTTTGATGCTCCACTCGTTCCTTTGTGTGAGTAAATGTACCTCCACTAAAGTACACCTAGTTTAGTCCCCATAGATTTCTTGAGATATTTTCTTACGAAGTTTTGTTAGGGCGGGAGGGTTTTTGGAAATGGGTGAGCTTCAAGGTTGGTGTGGGGAATAGGGTTTGGTTTTAGAGGGATAGGTGGTGTGGGGAGTTTCTTTTGGAGGAACTATTTCCTTTGATTTTTGCGATTGCTGTGGATCAGGAAGTAACAGTTGCATCTTATGGGAGTGGGCAAAAGTAGGTGGTAGTTTGGAACGTTCAATTGTGCCGTGATGTTCAAAATTGGGAGTTGGATCAATTGGTGAATCTTTTCGGGTTCTTGTATAGGCTACTATTTGGAGTGGGAGGGGGAGGACGCTTTGGTTTGGGATTGCTGATGGACGAAACGGATTTTTTTAGTATCTTCGTTCTATCAGGTACTTGTGGGTGGGGTGGCTGTTTCTTTTTCTTGGAGGTATATTTGGGTGCTTGGTCCATCCAAAGTTGCTTTCTTTGTGTGGACAGCAGCTTTGGGTCTTGTTTTGACTATTGATAATTTGATTCGACGTCGGCATATCTTAGTTAATTGATGTTGCATGTGTGGTCGGGATATGGAGACGGTACATTATGTACTTATTCATTGTTCGGTTGCATCGAGGCTTTGGATGGTTATTGTGGTGACTTCTGGTTTGACTTGGTTTTAGTCGGTGACCGTGGTGGAGTTGTTGCAAAGTTGGGGTGGGTGGAAGGTTGGGAAACAGCGTCGGAAGGCGTGGTTACTTGCTACTCATTGTTTATTGTATCTGATTTGGTTGGAACATAATAGGCTCATCTTTCAGGGTGTAACTCGTTCGGTTACGAGGTTGGAAAGCCGGTTATTCTCAGTGCTTCATAGTTGGGTCACGCTTTCAGTTGAGCCGGATTTGTTGGCCTTCGTGGATTTTGTGGATGGCTTGATTAGCTAGTTTTTTAGTTTTCTGTTTTGCGTTTTATGTGCTATATTTTTTGGTTCTTAATTTTGTATGCTTTGCATCATCTTGATGCTTTCTCAATAAAGCTTGTTTTATTTATAAAAATTTTTAAAAAAAAATGTAGGAGGGAATGAAGCAATAGAATAGGAACGACTGTACAAAGAAATTAGTTGGGGTTTTGGAAGGGGTTGATTGGGCATGGACTTAACCTTTGGCATAATCTGCACAAAGTGGTTGCACTCAGGTTTGAACCCACATTCGATAAATGTGTTATTGAGCTTCTATACTTTGAAATAGGTTTTGATTTATGTTTCCAAATATTCCCATGTATTTCCAATTTTTTTTTTGTCACGTCCATTATGTTTCTGAATTATTTGTGAAAGGTTTCCACTTTTCTGTTAATCAAAACAACACTAAGTAACAAAATTTTGATTCTTCATCTTTTCTAATATAAGTTGATCTATGGTGTGATGGCTTAACAATTGTTGATTTCTGGAACTCATGCATTTTGGTGGATTCTTGTAATACAGGTCGAGAAGCATTTGAAAAGAATATGGACAGCTGCATTTCGTGCTATGGATGACATAAAGGAGACGGTTAGAAATTCTGGTGACAGGTTATGCCGTGCTGTTACATCATTGACAACAAGGCTATGTGATGTCTCCCTGACAGAAACATCACATGCAAGACAAGCAATGGATATTGTTTTACCTTTCTTGCTAACGGAAGGCATAATGAGTAAAGTTGACAATATTCGCAAGGCATCGATTGCAATGGTTATGAAACTTGCAAAGGTTAACATTGTGCCAGATCTTGCAAATACAATGAAACATTGTTTTCCCGTAGATAATGTTGAGCTGCTTCATGGTTATATTTTCTAACATGGACTAATTTATCGTTGTTTCAAATAGAAAACAAAAAGTAAATGTTTTCAAATTGAATCATACACCATTTCAATTTTTTTGCATATATACTTCTTGTCCATTTGGCTTTTTAGATTAGGTCTTCATTTTCACTCCAAATTTGTTATTAGGCATTTGTATACCATTTAATATGTAATCTAGCAGCTAAAATATTTACAATTGAAATAATTCGGTATTCATTTCCATTTTTGTGTGGAACAACCTCTGTAAATACATAATATATCACTAGGAAATCAAACCTTTATTCTTAACCTCTAAAAGTTATATCCACAACATGTACCTCCCCGTAATTTCCAGCAGTTGTGAATATATCTCTAGATCTTTCTAAATGCATTGACCTCTCTAATTTGTGCTGAACCTGTAGCATTGATGATGGAGGTTAAATTACCCTGGTACCCCCTATTGTTGAGTTTTCTCTAATCCAGGCAAAGCATTACAGTTATTTCCCAAATTTCCCCTTCCTAGTTTTTTTCTTATCTACAGTTATTTACCTTGTTTTGTTCCGATGGTGATGCGCTATACACAATGATGGGTTTGCCCTCCCTTCCCATGATCCCTCAACTCTAATAAATGTGGTATTTAATTCCAAGTCTTTGGTTCAACAATCGAGAGAGTTTCACCAACAAATCTGTTACCACCTTCCCAAATTAATTACCATTGTTCCTTCAATTCATAAATTGACAAACAGTGGATGAACCATCAAATTACTCATAGCATCTTTCCATCCTCATCCTGACCTATGACCTTCAAGCTTAAGAACTCTTATTCCTCTTGTCTTGTAACCGCTCCCAGATTCAGTTGGTAGTAAGAAATTTGAATTTCATCCTCGGTGCTTTGATGTGGGATACTTAGGTTCTGCCTTTTGTTGGTTTGATCTGATCAGAAGCCCTAAGCAAAAAATAGAAAATTTTAAAAATCTAGTTAGATGCTGAGTTGCATCTGATTGGTAACGTTTTATAATGTGATCTTATTTTCAGCAAGATCACTCCTTCCATTCAGAAATGTGAAGTGAGAGTGTGATGAGCCTATAAATCATAGTGCTACCTTTCTAGCACTTGTTTCTGTGGACAAAGTAAAATTCACTGATATGTGGTAAAAACTAAAAAACGTTGGAAATTTGAACTGCTCTATCAGTGCCTAGGTTGAGGAATGATATCTGATACAAACATATGAACTAAACTGGTGTCACAATTATTTAAATTTGCAACAAAACTCTGCCCTTCCATTTCGTCTGCCATATGGATTTTTGTTTGAGCTCGAGTGTACATATCCAGAATTTTCTAGTTCATCTGATTTGATGATCTGTCTTTCTCTTTCTCTCTTTGTATGTGTTGCAGTGTTCCATTTCTCACACTATTATGTGGTTGATTAATATATTGATGAACAATGTAGTCACTTTACCAATGGTTGAAAATATGATGTAGATCCAATTTTGTAGTGTTGAATATCTTTTCTATTTGTTCAACTATATTGAGGTATCTGTTGTATTTTCAGGGTGCAGGGATAGCAATTCGTCCACATTTATCTGATCTAGTCTGTTGCATGTTGGAAAGTCTATCGAGCCTTGAAGATCAAGGGCTTAATTATGTTGAGGTATGGATGATGTTGTAAGCCATTATACCATTATATGTATCTTGTATCACTTGTATCACTATATACTTTTCAAAGATGGAGTTGTTATGAGCCATGTTGCTAACTCCCTCTGTCCCTCCCTTCTATAGTTGTTATCTTGGTACTCATTTATTTTGTTTCTTTTCTCGTAGTTACATGCAGCAAATGTTGGAATACAGAAAGAGAAACTTGAAAATTTACGAATTTCAATTGCCAAAGGCTCTCCAATGTGGGAAACACTTGATCGTTGCATAGATGTTGTGGATACACAATCACTGGAGCTGTTGGTTCCTCGTCTTTCTCAGTTGGTTCGATCTGGCGTGGGTCTGAATACTAGGTATGTTACTGTTTGTATAGTTTTTTAATTGAAAGAATACTGCTGTAATGGGATTGTTTATATCAGATAACGGCTTTTTATTCACATTTAATTTGTGATTGATATGCTTGATGTGAATTTCGTGAGTCTTCCTTGATTGACCAAGCCTTGAAATGCTCTGCAACTGAACACATTAAATTACCAGTTAGAAATTACAAATTCCAGCAGTTGGTATCGAAGAAATTAGTTCATCTTCTTTCTTTCTTTCTTTCTTTCTTTATTTTGTTTTGTTTGTTTGTTTGTTTGTTTTTTTTTTGTTTTTAAAGTGAAGATGCTAGCTTTCTTATTTTCTAGGAAATGTTACTAAAAAAAATCCAGGAAAAGTTGTAAAGAGCACCAGCGTCCATTTTATTATGACACCTGCTTCTAGATGCAGAAATTTAGTATGATGCTCTATCTGATTGACATTCATTTGCAGATACTACTTCCACAGGTTTAACATTGGTAGCTTTCACATATATTGGTAGCTTTCATGAACCGTAGTGGCTGCATGCAATTTTATTTATTTATTTATTTTTAATTTATTATCCTAGAAATCAGTTGTTCATCATCAATTGTCTACTGACATGCTCAAATGATCCATCATATGTACCTAATGTTATCTTGAAAATGGGGAAAATGCTACGATGTGCACCTTTGGTATAAGTTATACTTTTTGTGGCAAGCAAAAAATATTATATTTTTTTTTTTATGAGCAAAAAGTTAGTACTTTTTGCAGTAAAAAATTTACTTTTCGTATGAGGTGCATACCATATGCACCCCAAAAGATGTGCACATGGTAGCCATTCCCTGAAAATGGTCCTTTCTTTGTATCCATTGTGAACATGAATCACAGATAAAGAGGACAGCTTGAGGAAACTTGTGAAGCTAACCGCAATTAGTTTTATGGTGAATTTAGGGTAAAAAAAGCTTTTATTGATAGGGTTATGTTAGGTGGATTAAAGTTTCTGGAGTTCCTTGGTATGAGGATTGCTTGGTTTCTGAAAGTGTTTAGTTTCAGAATTTTCAGGAACTAGCTGCTGGATGTCCCTAGACAATAGTGATTTTTATTATTATTGTTCTATTATGGTGTGGTTGATCTAGGCTTGATTTAGTAGGGTCTGGGGGCTAAAAGGGAGCCATTGTGAGGGTATGAATTGAACCCCCAGAATAATGTTTTAAAGAATGCAAAGTGAACATCTAGGAATCCAACCTAGAATTCCATGGGAAATCCCTAAGCATGGGTTGTAGGAGGCTCCCATGGGTTGTGTTACGGATCAAATATTGTTATGTGGGTCTTATATGGAGCCTTTGTTTGGTCCAGAATTTTGTAGTTGGTCAATGTTTCTTAGTTTGGTAATTTTGTTGTTATAGGCCTAGTAGAATTAGGTGAACTGATAGCCTATAAATGTCTCTGTGAGTTTTCTATTCTATGATGTTGAGTTTTCTATTCTATGATGTTGAGTTTTCCAGAATTTATGTGAAACTTTTGATGTTTTGGTGATGCTTTGGGCAACCTTACCTAATAGCTAGGGGTAGATTCATGGTAAGTCTAGGTTGATTCCAAGAGTTTTTTTCTTCTCTTTCTTCTTTTTCTTCTCTTCTAAAGAAAAAATGAGTATGAAAAATTTGGAATGGTTTCATTGATTTTTGGATGATACATTTCAAGATGCTTATAGGCTTTATATTGAAATCAATAATACAATGACAACCCACAATTAATGCCGGGATTTTTGCTGTCACAGGGTTGGTGTAGCAAGCTTTATAAGCTTGTTAGTTCAAAAAGTTGGTGTTGATATCAAACCATTTACAAGCATCTTACTGAAGCTTTTGTTTCCAGTTGTTAAGGAGGAGAAAAGTGTCTTATCTAAACGTGCCTTTGCAAATGCTTGTGCAATAGTTTTAAAGTATGCAGCTCCCTCTCAAGCCCAGCAGTTAATTGAAGAAACAGCAGCCTTGCATGCTGGTGACCGGAATGCACAGATTTCATGTGCAATTTTGTTGAAAAGCTATTTGTCCACGGCCTCAGATATATTGAGTGGATATCATACCATAATTGTTCCTGTTATTTTTATTTCAAGGTTAGAGTTGAGCACTTATTTTATCATGTTGTTGTTGGGTTGTCATCTGCAGATACTTTTGGACTGTAATATGCCTGCATTTTGCTGTTACAGATCTTTTAATCATAAACAGCGATACCTAACAGGTTGGAATGACATGTAAAAAAGAACAATTAGCAGATGAATTACAAAACCAGAAATTACCGTCCATATTTTTAGAATTAAATATCAATGTAACGCAATGTTTTAGTTTGTAGAAATCATAGAGCAATCATTCCAAACTCTTTCATCAATGAACTAGTCATAAAACAATGAATTTTCACAATTTAGATTGGCGCAATTTTTTTAATCTATTTATTTTTTAACATAAGGGCTATGGGACTATGTTACCTGAACTTGATAGTGCATATTATGTGCTGCTTTTTTCTAAGCGTTGGTAACCCAATCTTTGAATAGTTAGGCATGGGGTGGCTGGCTGAGTTGTTCAGTGTTGAAATGCAGGACTTTTTTCTTATGCCTTGGGTTTAAAATGGAGGTTCTAGTAAGTCAGTTGATAGAATATTTCATTCATTTTGACACAAAATCTCATTTTAGAACTGTCCATAAGAATGTTCTAGTGGCATTCTAGTCAACCAAGATTGTGTTCGTATGTCAAAATATGCCAGTTATGTTTCTTGGCGGCCGTTATTCACATCTCATATTGGCGTATTCTTTAAAGAGTGGTCACACTCCTCCATCTCCTAGGTCCATATGACATGATAATGTGATCTCTATTGTAATCCTGTTTCATTTAAGCTCATACAATATGCATAATGCATCATCGCTATTTTAAAGAATATGTTTGACCAATTGCATCCAACAACCCTAATGCAATTATTGGCAGTCAGAGCTACCAAAAAACTCCAATACTATAAATATTTCATTGCAGATCGTTGTCCTAAAACATGATACACTTTCATTCCAATGCACTATATTTAGCAATTTGAAAATTGTTCTAAACTTTGATCTTTTAATAAGAATGCAAAAATAAATAATAACTATAAATTAAACAATAAAATTATAATAAAATGCAATCTAATAACCAAAAAGTATTTTAGAGAAGATTGAGAGGGTTGCAAGGCATCAAGTAGGATACACTTAATCCAACGTTTTACATAGATGATTCCAATATAACATATTTCAGGACGTAAATACGGAATTTGTGCATAGTGAGGCACCAATCTTAGGTGGTGCATAGTGAGGCACCAATCTTAGGTTGTGCATAGAAAGGCACCAAACCCAAACTGCATAAATAGCAGAGGTCACAAACTGGAAATTTTTGGTAGTGGTTTATATGACTGCACTCAAATGGGTCAAGCAAGAAGGCGGACTTGCCAATCTAAGTATTATACGTATGAATAGTTCAGTTGATTTGTCCTTTCTCTTCAGTTTTTTCTACGATTTGTTAGTTACAAACTGGAGAATTTTTTTTTTTTTTTTTTTTTTTTTTTTTTTGTAGAAGAAAAGGTTTTGCATATTTGGAGAGTATTATCTTTCTACAACCACCCAAAAATGGTTAAGGACTTGATTGCTTACTAATCCAATCTTTGTTTCAACTAATATATGGAAACTATTTTTTCTTTTATTTTCTGTTTTTTGGAACACCTGCTTAGTTGAACTTTGATACTGACATGTTAGGAAAGACTAACAAATTAAGTCTTATGTAGATCTGAGGATGACAAGAATATTTCTAGTTTGTTTGAGGAACTGTGGGAAGAAAATATGAGCAGTGAACGGGTCACCCTTCAATTGTATGTGGCAGAAATTGTATCTCTTATTTGTGAGGGAATTATGTCATCATCATGGGCAAGTAAAAAAAAGGTTTGTACTATCATTTCTATTTCCTTCTCCCCATAATCTTAACTTCTAGAGATCACAACTTCTCCAATTTTGTGTTGTTTTTTTTCTCTTGAGATGCTTGTTTGGTAATTTTGATTACTTCTTTCTTTTCTTTTTTTTCCCCTTTTTTGCTATCTTGTGCATGCAGTCAGCCCAGGCAATTAGTATGCTTAGTCAAGTATTGGGTGAATCGCTATCTTCATATCAAGATGCTTTGCTGAAAACTCTTATGAAGGAACTTCATGGTCGTTTGTGGGAGGTATTTGCTTTTGATTTTTCACACAAGTTGTAAAGCGAATGTAAAATAAATTTGAGAATGATGCTTCTTCTTAATCCTTGTCTGAAAGGCATAGTTATTTGTGGCCGAAAACTCATTAAATGATGTGCCTCAATGTCATTATTGTAGATATGCCTTTGGAAATTGATAACGCCCAGTTCATTGCAACAGTATATCTCTTTACTGTGTAAATACAGTTTCGTCACTGAAATTATATGAATCCATGTTATTTATTCACTTTGGACCATCATATTCATCCTTATCAAACCAGTCTTCTTGTTGGCCTTCCTTTTGTCCTTATGTTGTATTCTTCTTTGATCAATGGCCTCTCATTGCTGATCCATGTTTATCCTTCATTGTTTGTGATTAAAACAAACTCAACCATTTCCCCTCCCTCATACTTGTCTCAGTTTTTGCTACCTACTTCTTGTATATGTGCTTATTATGAGTAATATTCTTTTGGTGATGTTTTTTTGAGATTTGGTGTTAGTGATAAGGTATGTACTATTCAGTCATCCGGATTATTTTCTTGTAGGTCCTTTTTTTGAAAGAATTATTAATGATCCAAATGTTCTATTATGTTTGGTTCAAGGGTGTTTTTTTACTTTGAATTAAGTTAATATAAATACAAGAGGATGAGGGAGAGAACCTAGATTTCGTACATTTGTCCTTGCCTAATTTATACATTGGTTCCCCCTTGTGCATCAATGTTAAAACTTATGTTGCATACTTTTCCCTACTGAATTAATTTCTTTATTTTTGGTACATAAAAGGCCATAGTTTTAGGGGGAGGGGGAGTGTTACCACTCAAACCGTTGATCTCCTAATAATAAGGCGCAGGGTTATGGCCAACTCGGCTAAGCCCAGTTGGTTTACTGAGTTAGTTTTGAGCCTTTGTCAAATATTGGAAGATTATTGTAGTTTAGTGAACTAGATTTCTATTATTGTCAATATGGTGACAGGGAAAGGATGCTCTGTTAAACGCATTAGCTGCTCTGTGTACTTCTTGCCATAAAGCAATATCCGCTAGTGATCCTGCCACACCAAATGCCATTTTAAGCCTGACAGCTTCTGCATGCACAAAGAAAGTCAAGAAATATCGTGAAGCGGCTTTTTGCTGTCTAGAGCAGGTAAATATGTCATACATCTTCTTTCAAAGTATACTTTATATGCTTTTCTTCATCACAAGAAACTCTTGTTCTTCATTTGCATTATTAATTGGTCAGAGGTTCCTTTAGACAGTGAAACTAATTTCAGTTTTCCAGAAGGAATTCTTACTTCTTTGGGAAGCAAATCATTTTTTATGAAAGATCAACAATTAACTATGCAAAATATCCCTCCTCTCTATATTGTTTGTCGTACTTGATCAATAGAAGGATGTTCTAAGCTGCTTTTGAATCTTGGAAAAGAATGAGAAGTGCAATGAAAATTCTTAGAAGTTGCTACCTTTATCTTTTGAAACTTTCTCTTTTCCCACTTTCTCATACTTCTTGCATGGAGAAACGGAGATCACAAATATATGAGAACAGTAAAGCGTACTGAGGTGTTAAATCAAACAGTTTGGCAGGGCCCAACCTGTAACAAAATTAAGGGAAGAAGTCCTTTTATTTATGTTTAGAATCAGAAAGAAAATAGAAGCCACTGACATAATGATCAAACAGTTTAGCTGGATTCATGAAATGCAGTTGTTTCCAGATTTGATAGCAGTTGTGGAAGATGTACTGATTACAATCCTTGTTGATGAAACATGAATCTTCTGAGGTGTTTATCATTTGATATTTGTATGTTAATTATTTTGACCATTCTTTGATCGAGGAGTTTGTTTAAAAGAGTCTTATTGTAGGTTTTGATGCTACAGAAACTATAAAACAACTATTAGACCTCCTTTGATGTATTTGAAAATGCATTCAACCAAAATAATAGATAAATGTTTCCTTAGAAGAAAAAAGTAAAAATAACAAAGAACAGCTAGTTATGGATTTGGCTTAGTAAATACTTTTATTTTAGGCAATTTTGTATGGCAACCTTCCCTTCATAGTGTACGTATGGCTTAACAAGCATCAAGTCTAGAACATTTACAGTGCAAGTTCTAATAGGCATCTATTATTAAAAGCATAACAAATAAACAATTTTAGCATAACATACACAAGTTGTAAATACTTCAAAGAGACCTTCAAACAGCCAATCATAAGCCATAAAAATTTTAATATCTTGTATTCTTTCATAAAGCTTTTGATTATATATTATATTTGGGTGTAATCGAACATGAAAAGAAATGGAGAATAGTGGTTGCATAGTGTTAAGCCCACACCAATTGCACAAGTGTGAGCCTTGTTAGGTGCATTTTGCACTTTTTACAATGAGAAAGGAGGCAGTTTCATACGGACCAGAACTGTCTAGTATATGACCCAAAATTGCGTAACAGCTCTGGTACCATCCAGTACGTCCGAAATTGTCCTCTTTGTACCATTTTCTTGCCAATGTGGTACATACCGACTTGTATTGATTGACAACTATGTTTCAAAATTGAAGTTAGGTTATGTGATGCTTCAGAGACTTAGTTATCAGCACTCTATGAAGCATGGGTACTCCATAAATTATGTCGTATGAGTACTGGTTAAGTATTCGGTATGGGTATGTGTATCGATACAGCTACACATGTACTGTGTACGCAAAATACATATCCAGTACCTTTTTTTTCTTTTTTCAATTGAATGTTAGGTATAGCTTAGGTATGCCATGGGTAGGTATCGGGTACTTTTGTGGGTACATCGAGGCATAAATATGATTTTCTAAAATATATAGCAGTATTGGAATAAACATAGTGTTTATTTTTTAAAATTCCAAAAATGAAGGTATATTTGTAGTACGTTAGTGTGCTTTTTAGTCTTTACAAATTGAGCAATCATATTCCTCTCTATCAATTGAGCTTCTATATCTCTCTCAATAATCTCTTTGTCAATTGGCACTAAATTCTAGTTTGTACCTTGTTTTAACTACTTTTTGCATTTAGTTTCTAATTGTTGTGTATCATCTATTACTACAAGTTATAAAAATATATATTTTTAATTATATCATTCATTACTACAAATTATTAAAATAAAATAAAACAAAATAAATTATAGACATAGTCTGGTTGTACTTATATCCTATTTTCTATAAGTCCTTTCCATATCGATGTACCCATACCAGCATCATGTACTTGTCCTTGATCCCATGCTTCATAGTTGGCACTTCATTGACATGTCAATCATAAAAAATAAAATTGTTTAACTGAAGCACGCATAGGATACTGCTGAATAAGGTGTCCAACACAGATTAACTGTTGGTGTGGGGCATTCCTAATATAGAAATCAAGTGTAACTTTAATATATATATATATATATATGTAAACATAACAAGGGCTGTTAATAATTAGACAAGCTTATAAGCAGAAGTGAGATATTCTTTTGATAGGTAAGGTAAGGAGACTCGAACTTGAGTCTCTTTGGGAATGTGACGTGGGGTGTCTCCTAGGACAAGAAGAAATGAGGTGCAATGAGGATAAATCTTATCAATTGAGGTCCCAGCTTGTATCATGAAGACATGAATTTTATTACAATAGAATAGTTAGAATTTTACTTAAAAAATAATAAATAAAAATAAAATAATTAGAATATTTATTGAAGAAATAGTAGAATAATTGTTCATCATAATTTTTTGTTTGCATGTATTTTTATCAAGTTCTTGCTATTAACGTATTTATATTGTCAGGGCTTTTATATACACTTGTCCTTATCAAGTCTGTTGACATGCCTTATCCTTGCTTTTTTTAATATATTTTCTAAGTAGTTAAAAAATGTATCTTTCAGAATTTTGCATTAAGACATTTTTGTATCTTCTGTTGCATCTATAGACATGCATGTATTGTGTGAGGCTGCTTGACAATCAGATAGGTATTATAGGGTCGTCCGCAACTTGTACCAAACCTCAATATGGAATCTATGATCCAAACCTGAGGAAGGTGTGAGGATTTCCTTCCAATTGGGTCCGACCCTTGACCAGACAATTATCCCAATCCAACACCAGTAGGGTGAGCAAGCTGAATGCCACTTTATTGTCTTAGTCGGTAAGTAACAAAATGAGGTGTCAAGCGTAGATTCACTTTTTTGGCTTAGTGGGTAGGTAACAAAATGAGGTGTCAAGCCTAGATCCGATAAGAACAGAACTTATATTTTGAGTTTGTAGTCCTCACAAATTGTGAGGCTTGTAGATCTATGTTAGTGTTCTTGATACTTGTCATTAAGTGAGTGAGTCACACTGAATGCACCACATTTCATAATGACAATGTTAACCCTCGTGATTTTTATTTTTGGAAAGGTTTGAGCCATCTTTAAGGCTGTAGATGTAGCCACGTAACAGTGATGAACCTCAGTTGCCCCAAACCTTAGCCTAATCTAACAGGTACACATCCCTCCACTAGTTAACATTCCTCTGGAAGGGTCATATGTTCTCCAGGTCTTGTCTTCACTGTGATGGGCATCAAGCATCAAGATGCAAGAGTCATAACAAGCCCAGACTATGAAGGCATAATTGTGTGGGGCATTCGGACTATGAAGCATGGGTACTTCAAAAAACATGTCATACCCATACCGGGTATTTATCAGCGTATGGTACTTCATATGGTATTTTTACATATGTACCAGGTACACAAAATACGTACCTAAATTTTTTCATCTTAATTTTTGGCGTACCCAGACTTACCTAATATATATCTAAGCAGTACCGTATCTCAGTCGAAATAATATTTTCTTCTACTACAGAGATAAAATTCGTTTTACTAGATTTCTTTTTTATTTTTAGTTTTATGCTTGGCATGATTTTAAAATTAAGCTATGATTTTCAAGTTATTTAATATAATGACATTTAATTTTGATTTATACCTTTACTTTTGGCATTCAATGTTAATTGTAGGTTGGATCTTAATAAATTAAACAATTTAATCAATTTTTACATTACTCCAAAATTAAAAATAAATATTTTTTACAAACTTACCAAGCCCAAGCCGTACCTGTACCCCGTACCCTATTTTTTTTAGATTTTACCATATTGACGTACCCGTATCATATAAGTACTAGTACTCGTATCCGTACTTGTGCTTCATACCTCAACAATTGGAGAAACAAACCACTAATAAGTAAATGACCATGTGGCACTATGTGGCATCCAAAAAATATACTACTGAGGCATTCATTAACTGGATTTTTCAATATCAATGAAGGTGTAAAGTGTCAATAACCTACTATAACGAAAATATAAATGTTGGTGGGTTTGTGAACCTTATGGTGTTGGAGTTTTGAAAGGTATAATGGTCTGGGATGACTTTCATAGTATCATCTCTTTGAAGGTGCGCAATGGTCATCGAGTCAAGTTTTGGGTGGAATTTTTGTGTGGGCATATGGGCCTTTGAGAGAAGTTTTCTTGGACTCGTCTTGTATTCTTTGAGCTTGAAGAGGAGAGGAGCAATTTGGACACAGATTTCAGGATGGCTTTACATGATTAGGTTATTTATGATAGGGTTACTTATGGCTTGTTCTTAGGTTATTCTCTCCAAGCAGAGGCAAAAGATTGTTTGATTTGGGAAGGAGGTCAGAAGTGGGAAATTTATGGTGGCATTGTTCTGTAGGAGGCTTCTTGGGTTGGGGGAGGGTGGTTTCCCTTGGAAAGCAATGTGACGACCAAAGGCTCCTCTAAAGGTAGCTTTCTTCGCTTGGACAGTGGCATGAGTGGCTATTCATACCATTGCTTGTTTGATGAAGACACATAAGTTATTGTTGGATTGGTGTTGCATGTATAAATGTGCATGAGAGTTGTTGAATCCTCACCTATTAAATTGTACACTAGACAAGATTTGGAGTTTCTATTTTCGTTTTTTGGTATAACTTGGATGATGCCTGGATCATTGAAGGACTTTGTTGCAAATTGGCATAGAGGATGTCCAAGGAGGGATAATATAATACGAAGGTTTGGGAGGTGAGTGATACCTTTGTCTTTCATGTGGTGCATATGGAAAGGAGAGGAATTGAAGCCTGTAGATCTTTTGGAGGGGAACGATAGCTCAACATGTGCCTTGAAAGGAACAATGTTGGCAGCCAAGTATTTTTGGCTTAAAGATGATTTTCCTCTCCTTTACATTGTTTTGTAGAGTTTTGGGACAATTATACATCCCTTTAGATATTTAGGGGGTATTTTTTTTGTTTTGTTTATTTTGTTTACACTTTTTAGGGTCGTGTGAACCCAAGGATAGGTGTTGTCCTAGTGTACAAAGGAGGCATCCCCTTGATGCTTTTTTAAAACATTTTTGCTACTTAAAAGAAATGGAAAAAATTGGCTCCTTTTTTATGTTTAATTTAGCAATGAGCATTTTCTGATTTTGTTTAGAGTAAATTTTATTTTACCCCCTAAACTATTCCTGAAAAATTAATTAGACCTCTATCCTTTTAATTATATTAATTTTACACCTGAACTATTCAAATTGGGATCAATTTGACCCCTGTTGTCGCCTGTCATCTTCAATCAAACAAAATCTGCTAACTTGGCCCACACATACTCTACATTCGAGGGAAGATAAAGTGTTTCCTGCCTATGTACAACAACCCTACACGTGAGAGATGGCCCTAGTTTCAATTTAGAATCCTAGTGAAGAATCTGAATATAACCCACACTTATGGCTCTCTCTCACGTGTAGGGTGGTTGTATATACGCGGGAAACACTTCGTTTTCCCTCCAAAGATGAGTTTGGGGAGCCAGGTTAGCAGATTTCATCTTATTGTAGACAACAGGTGACGACAATGGTCAAATTGATCCCAATTCGAATAGTTCAAGTGTAAAATTTATATCATTAAGAGGACAAAGGTGGAATTGATTTTTGAGAGATAGTTGGGGGGTAAAATGAAAATTCCTCTTATTCTATCTCATAGGTGCTTTTAAGATGATGTCTGGAAGATTGCTCAGAATATTTTAAAAGATTTTGTTTTCATTCATATTTGTGTTTCTTCTTTTGACATCCATTCTAATGTTTTATTTGAGTTTAACATGTTCTGTCATATTTCTTAGCAACAATATGTGAACTACTCTTACCTTTTTCATGTTTTCAGATTATAAAGGCTTTCAAGAATCCAGACTTCTTTGGTATGGTCTTTCCATTATTATTTGAGATGTGCAATTCAACCACTATTATCAAGTCTGGCCAAGTACCATTGACAAATGATGCTGTTAAAGCAGGTAGTTACACTAAAGTTTGTCCAACCATTAATTTAAAATCTGTTGATTGACGCAAATATAGTCTGTGCTAGTAGTTGGTCCAACCATTGCTTTCTGGTATACAGAAGCTGATGATGCAGAGCACAACTCTGTTCCACATGCTAAGGTTGTTGACTGCATTACATCTTGCATCAGTGTGGGGCATGTAAGTGATATTCTTGAACAACAAAAGAACCTTGTGAACGTGATCTCAAATTTGCTCTCGCCTGGTTTTCCGTGGACAGGTACTTTCTGTGTCATTTGCTTTTTGTTTTCTTCGTTGTGATTCGTGAATCAATCAATTATTGTTTTCCCTAAAATAGTGGTATTGTTGTGAGCAGTCAAAATGTCAGTGTTTTCGTTAATTAAAGAACTTTGCTCAAGGCTTCAGAGCATTGCAAATGACTCTCAAGAAACCTCCACTCATACTGCTGTAACTTCTTTTGTTCATGAGGTATTGTTAAAGTCCATAGATAATCGTTCCTGTTTACCCTGCCAAATATGTTTGTGTTGCAATCTGAGTTATCGTTCTTCTCATCTCCAGTTGTTCCACTCTGCATCACCCAAGGTAGTCGAATGCATATACGCAATCAAGATTGCCCAGGTATGTCATTTTTCCTTCTTGTTCAGTTAATTAATTCACATTACCTATCAGTCTGTTGTTTCTCATATTTGGGAAAATTTTGCCTGGGGTTTTTAGTATATAGAGCTTCATCCTCAAACACATATTTTACAGTAGTAGAACCAGATGTCTCTCAGTAACAACTTGCTCTCCATTATTTTAGCCCACCCCTTTGCATTAGGAAGAGCATACTGTCTTAGCAAGCTTAACCCTACCACCACTAATTTTGGTGCTGTAACTTACTGTCCTTTTTCCGGTTTTATATTCAGATTACCATTGATACTCCAGAAAGAAAAGACAACTGTGAACTATGAAAATAGAAATTACACATTGGGGTAACCACATTTCCTTTTATGAAATTTAGACCTTTGACCAGACCTACAAAGAATGTTCATGGGTATACATTGTAAACTGCTTAGTGGCTATTCATAATTAAATCAAACCAAGCCCTCTATCCCAATCAGGTGTGGTCGGCCACATGAATCTTTTTTCCTTTCTTTTCTTTTTTTTTTTTTTTGTGTGTGGCCATTTCACTCTGTCAAAAGCCTAATTTTCTATATAGAAATCTAGGTCTCCAGAGTCTAAATAAAGCAACCTAACACCTCTAATTTAAGGGAGAATTTCTTAAAGAATTTTCAAAGCTTTTTATGTTTCTATGGGATTGTGTAATGCAATTCTAAGCCAAGGTGTGACACATGGAATCAAGGTGTGAAGCTTCAGCCTCCTAATTCTTCTGCACTTTTAGCCCCTGAAACCAGAAAACCATAACCACATTAGCCCCAACCCAACCCAACCCAACCCAACCCTTAAGCATCATAGTTCCTTACCCTAGCTTCTAAAAGATCACTAAACTAGCAAAGTTATTGTTCACAATGTCCTGAATAGCCCCAAAAATCTTGTGTTTACATTCTCATACTCTTACCCTGTTGCTGCACCTTTGAAAACCCTAGAATTCCCATATTGTGTTGTACCACCCATCTAGCATTTGAAAAAACAATTAAAATCAACCTCAAAACCCTACTTTTCTGCTGTATAGTAGTTTTGAGCTCATAACTTGTAGGAGAGTTCGCCGCCTATATGTTAGAATGTATTAGCCACATTGGCTAGGCAAAGGCACATCGGTTGTGGAACATTGACTAGAACACTAATACTGAAACTTATATTCAAACTGTTGTGGACATGGCATACACAAAAATCAGCGTACATATTACCTTATTAGGTGGTTGTCTTCAAACTTGTCATTAGTATCTATGAAAGATTAGTAATACCTTAAGATCCCCTTGGCAAATTATATGTGATGATAAATTATTTGATTACAATTTACAGCCAGCATTTGATAAGGAATGATGATTTATCCTCTTGTTTTCAATTTCCACTTGATATATATATATAAGCTCTTGTGCTTGAATTCAGGTTCACATTGCTGCTTCAGAGTGTCTTCTGGAAATGACTGAGCTTTACGGAGCCCTTCCACAAGTGCATTGGACAGAAGTAGGGTTTAAGGGTGAGCTTCTTCATCAGTATGAGGCGGAAAAAAATGAGCAGGCTAAATCATGTCTAAAGAAATCAATTGACGTCCTCGAAAGCCTTGAACCGAAAAATGTTCAATCCTCCTGAGATTATTATGGATATCAGAAAAAATATCCAATTGTCTTTTAACAAAATAGTTTGTAGTGTCTGGCAATTTACAAGAGAAACCATGTAAAGAATTATTTGCAAGAAAAAAAAAAGGTGAAAAAGGGAAAAGAAAAGGAGAGAAAGAAATGAAACTGCAGAGATTGAAAATGGAACATTGAAACGCAGCAGTACAGTTGAATAACAAAATGAGACGCATGATTTCGGGCAGGGGTGTTTTTCGTATCTTGATGCTGTAATATTTATTTATGAGTGCCGCTATTAGCCCCTTATAAATTATTTTGAATCTCTTAATATTTAATCTTTTTTTATTACAATAATAACTCCAAATAAAATTATTAAAAATGACATCATTAATTTTAGGACATCCCATCTCACAATTAAATTTACACACCTATTATATCATGAATTAGGATTTATGTTAGCAGTTACCTCCATCAGCACTCATCCATCTTTCTCAAATTTCACCATCAAAACTTATTCACTCTCAAAATCTTGAAAATCCATTGGCGATAATATTCCGGTGATAATAGTGGCAACCATTTGATTACCTACGCTTTTTTAACAATAACAATGGGTGGAAGTTTTTTTGGTAACCACAGTTTCATAAGACGAGAAGAGTGCAAGAAGAAAAGTTTAGAGGAGATTTATAACTTTGATGTTGTTCTTAGATCAGAGGAGATTAGTCTTGTAAATGTAAGTTTCTTGAAAAAAATTGACAAAAATAATAAAAATATGTTCGTCATTTTTTCAGAATTGAACTTCTGAACATATGACCGAAATTCGAAAATATAGGTCCGAACATGAAAATTTCTTCAACCTATTAAATGGTTAAAATTGTTAATACTTACAGAAGTTTTCATTTGTTCAAGTTCAAGAATACAGGCCCGAACATCACTTATTTGTTTGGGAAGGCATTCACAAACAAATAAACGATGTTTGGGAATGTAGGTCCGAACATAAAAATTTCTTAACACATTGAACGGTCAAAATTATTAACTCTTGCAAAAGAAATTTGATAATATTATTGCATAGTTCTCTGCGAAATTCACAATTTTATAATATCTATCAACAAAACTAACCAAATCTATTATTATAATTTTTTTCTTACAAGAGAAGAAATTATTACAAAAAAATTAAGAAATTATGTATATATATATAGAGAGAGAGAGAAAGAGAGCATACCAACTGTGATAATGATGGATAAGGCAACAGCGATAGTAATTACATTGGCTCTTCTTTTTCTTGGTAAGTTTTGTTAGGGCTTTTTGGAAGAGGAGATATTTTGGAGTGTGGGACTGTGGGGGTGTGACTTCAATGTGCGGAATGTTTTTACAAGAATAATTTTGGTATTATTTAGGGGGAAGAAATTTTGAGGATTTCAAAATTTATAAGTGGGGGCCCAAAGAAATAAGAGGATCCAAAATAATTCATGGGGTGTTAATAGCACCACTCTTATTTATTTTTGTCAATTTGTTAACAGTAATGGACTATTTTTGTTTTATTTTTTTATTTTATAGTTCTCAATATTTTGAGATTGGTTATTTCACCCCTGTAACTTAGAGGGAAATTTTGTTATGCACACCTTTTGTTATTTGCACCCTTAAGTTATGTTATTTTTTTTTTAGTTATGGTCAATTTTCTTCTTTAGTTATTGACTTTATTTTAGTTATAATTCATGAGATCTTTAATTATAACTCATGTGTTATTTAGTTATGATTTTTTTTATAATTAAAACTCAAAAAATATAAAATTTTATTATTTTTTTTTAATTATAAAATACATACGATACACATATTTTGAGCCAGTGTGTATCATAATCTGTCCCTAACTTGAAAATTTTGGTTGCTGAACCATATTTGGTAGGCTGCAATCATCATTAATCAAACTCTTTTTTTCTCACTGCACACTCGTGAGTTACTTATTAAAAATAACGGTCTATTATATGGGCTCTCACTAAAACAAGGTAGGGAGAGGATTAGGCATATGCAAATTTTACTCATCTATTAAAAGAGGCATTTTAGTAACTCAAATTTGCTCCGCAATTTACTTGGCATTAGTCCATTGGGTTGGATATTGAGTTATTTAAAAAAAATAAATAAATAAAAAACACGGAGAATTCTTAAGCAAAGAAAAGAAAATGAGGTGAAAAAACCTAAAATTAAGTACTTTGCTTGGTTGGATTAGGAAGAAGAAGAAAATTTGTTTGGTTACCCATAAAAATGATTATGTATAAATAATAGTTTTTATTAATAAATTATAGATCGAAACATAGCATAAAATAAGAGTAATACTATACAAATTAAAATGATGTGATAGTCTTGAAATTTATTATTTTAAAATTCAGGTTTGTTACTGCGATTTTTATTTTCAGAAATGTCATTATTGTATCATTCTTAGTTAAAATTTTGTATAAATCTTTTATTTGTGGATCATTTTCCTAAAAGTAAATCCAAATGTAGCATAAAACTAATTGCTATTTTTGAATTTGTAGAGGGAAAATAAAGGGAAGACATGCTAATTTTTAATTTGTAGAGGGAAATAAAGGGAAGACATCTTGGATTTAATGGAGCAATTTTTTTATGTTTCCCTTCTTTTTTTTCTTTTCTTTATATTTTTCCTTCTTTTTTTTTTCTTTTTTTATACGAATCTCTCCTTAAATTTAAAATTCAAACATTAATAGTCTTTAGGCTAACAATGTCAGACTTACAAAGGTCTTTCGTGCTAATTTTGATTGAGCATGCTCTTCTAATTAAATTTAACATTGGAATAGTATTAGTTTTTCATATCTAGTATTCTGAAAGTCTCTCTTATTTTATAATCTCAACTCCTACTTCTGTTATTATGTGGGTGTTTGGAAAGTGGTTATTTTAGAGACTTTTGACTGTTTTAATACGCTATTTTAATTTTTGTGTTTGGAAAGTTAGGATGAATTTTTATTTGAGTTGTGTATTAAAAATGTGTTTGAAATGATGTTTGAAACTGAAATGACAAATTTGTTCCTAATCTCATTTTTTTCAAAACAGATCTAAAGGGGCAAAATTGTCATTTACTTCTGAAATGATGGGCTGTCCCTACACTGTCACGTTGACAGTGTAGGCTGAAACCGCTGAGTGTTATAATTTTATTATTATTTTTTTTTTTTAATCAATGGATTAGAGTGGGGCTAAAAGACTTTTTTTTTGTATCGGAAGCTATTTTAGTCTCAACTTTTGGTTCCCAAGCACCCCGTATACATACTTTTCAAAATTTTAATCTCATGTTTGTAGACAAAATGACGTGGCTTAATTAATCCCACGTTGGTTAGACATTGAAGTTTAAATCATCTCACATTACATAAAAATAAGCTACATGTTTTGTTATGGGAAGCGAAGTTGTGAATCCCACAGGGTATATACAAAGTTGTGAGGTATTCAATCACGTAGCTAGTCATATTTCTTAAACTTACCATGTGGACATGATGACTTTATATTTAGTTAATAAAAATTAGTTTGAAATAATTATATGCTATTTTTTTTTTTTTTTTTTTGTTATAGGAAAATCCTCTCACTCTCCCGCAGGTCCAGGACAGCGCCCATTGTAGAGATCACCAAGGGCCCACACCAAATGTTGTGGTAGTAACAATTTCAGACTAACCTCCTAATCAACTGGATTACGCTTAGGAGATTGGTCCAAAAGATTTTGAACTTGGAACCTAGGGTCTTAATTCCCAAGTCTTTATCAAGTTGCCAAACACCCTTAGATTATCATATGCTCTTTCATTGTTCATAGTACGAGGGGAAAAAAAATAAGGATTTTTTTTATTTATAGCCTTTCCTAAACCAATATATGCACGTACCAAATTTCATAGATACAATGATGATATCACATTAACAAGTTAAAAATGTTAATATATTTATGTATAGAGAAAATGCAAGTATATTTGATACCTGGGTCAACCTTAGCAACATAAGTTCTTCAATCTAATTTAGTTTTTGAGTAGTGTCTGTTTGGTAATTATTTTATTTTTAATTTTTAATTTATATTTATAAAAATTTTAAAAATTGTCATAAAAACTTATTTGATAATTTTTTTGATTTATAAATGGTTGTCTCAGTTTATAAATTTGAGGAAAAAACATAAACTCAAAAAATGAGTTTACGTTAGTTTTTAAACAGAAATTTTTTTTTTGACAATTTTTTTTTTCAATTAATTTTTTTTTCAATTAATTTTTTTGACAATTATAATGTGTATGATTCTATTGTCATAAATAATAAAAAATAAATACAAATATTTTAGGCCTAAACAAATATATTTTTTAGTTTATGTTTTTAAAAATTTTCAAAAATTTTGTTCAAACCAAGCGCATTTGTAGTTTATATTTTTCTAAAAATAAACAAAAACTAATTTATAAAATTTTTGTAGCCATAAACAAAAAAACATAAACGTTACCAAACACTACAGTTTGACCCTTGTGGTTTATTGAAAAAACATGGAGTCTTTTTATAGTTTCATCTATAGCACTTAAACCTTCTAAATTTCATACCACATTGTAATTTCTGACAAAACCGTTTGTTTTAACAAAACGTGTGTTACACGATCATAAAACCAAGATTTTCCCAAAACAATCAACCACACTGAATAATTCCTTATGTTCTTCTTATTCTCAATTTTTTGAAAACAAGAGAGGTTGGTCTCTCTCTAAAATGTTTTTTTCTCCCTAACTTATCTCCATCATTTCTCCATCTTTTCTTTTTATTATTCTTCTAAAATTTATATCTATCATTTTCTTAACTCAAATAAAATTAACCCATAAATAAATTTATTTATGAAATTTCTACTCAAAATAGAATAGTAACCTTCAAAAATTATTTTCAACACACAATTGACTATGAATTAAACTCTATGATTGTTGGAAAATTATCGGTAAACAATGTACAATTGACTATGAATTAAACCATAAGTGATTCTTGGTTTTCAACTAAAACAGAGTAGGAAAAATGCAAATGAGAAGATGTCCAGGTGGATGTCTCTCTCTCTACTTCTCTCTCATACTCTCTTTCGATGATTTGGGTGAAGAATTGTTGCAGACCCATGTAGCGGAAGAACCAACCCGACATATGAGACCTTGCAATATGAACTGGGTCGGGTAGACCCGGGACTAAGAAAGGCCGAGAGTAGAGGTGTTCGCAGTTCGGTTGCGGCCGGAGAATGTCTAATCCGCCATCCGTCTGTCGGATTGACGGATTGGAAAAAATCAATTTACATCCGTCCGTCGAATTGGCGGATGCAGATTGAGCGGATTGGCGAATGGATGCAAATCGGTTTAGTGGTTTAAATTTTTACAAATTTTGAACATAATATAACAATTTGTCAATATTTATTTTTTTAGGTAGCAATCCAACTCAACATAATCAAAAGATTATCAAGTAAATTATTCAATACCAATAATAAATACATATAAAAAAAATTATGCATTATCAAAACTGTTTCATTACTTTTTTTTAATAAAAAAACTATTTAATTTGATTTTTTTTTAAAATGACAAAATTAAACCTTATATTTTTCACACAAAAATATCAAATATCAGCACTTGCCCTTTGATACACAACAGAATATCTAAACTTTTTTTTCAATTGAAAACACGAATAAAATATCTAGACAAATTGAAAATATAAAATCTTACAAATTACAAGAGGTGCTCGCGGTTTGGCGATTCAATTGCGGTCAAAGCAACCTTAAATCCGTCATCCGTCTAAAATTAGGCGGATTGAAAAAAATCAATCCGCAATTGTCCACTTGTCATCACTCATCCATCTAAAATGCAGTGGATTAGTTTGGTTCAGTCGGTTTGAGTGGATCAGAATATTCACTGAACACCCTTAGCTAAGAGTTATGGGTTACAGACTCGTATGGCTTGAATTTCGTGATACTGTCTGTGATGCAGAAAGAGAAGCATGATGTGGTGGAAAAGGTGATTCGGGGGATGTTGTATTTTCAGGCGATCTAAGTCGTCTAGGGAAGGTGATTCAAGGTTTACGGTGGTAGTGGTGGTAGTGGTGATGGTAGTAACGGCGGCGGTGGCGGTGGTGGGGAAGTAGAAGAGGAAGAGGTGGTGAGGTTGTGGTGGTGGATGGAGGAGTCAAAGGGAGAGGTTGAGGGGGTGGTGAAGATGAAGGTGGTGACATTGCGAGAGAAGATGAGCTTGGCTAGGTCTAGCATGGGGATTTGGTGGCCTGGTGGCATGAAAGGAAAGAAAAATATATAGAGCTGCTACTGTTGCTATTGGGTTGATGTATTTGGCGCTATGGAGATAGAGAGATGATGATGTTTGGTTGGAAGGAAGTGAGATGGTCATGTCACACATGTTCTGTTGAAACAAACAATTCTGTTAGAAATTATAATGTGGTATGAAATCCAGTGAGTTTAAGTATTACAAATGAAATAACAGAGAGGCTCCATGTTTTTTTAGTAAACCACAAGGGGCCAAACTGTTATTTATCCTTAGTTTTAATACTTTGGGATCTATTTGAATAGTGATAATTGTAGTCTTGTGGAGGATAAAGTATACACCTTAATGGTGACAATAATGCATCAAAACAAAGGTATCAATGAGTTGTGCAAATTACCACCCGATCTGCTAAAATTGTAATGACCTACATCAATTTGTACCACTCTATTCGTTAATTGCAGATTAAATTTTAAAATTTATAATCTATCTTCAAAACCGTTCTGTTTTGCTATAGTTAAAACATATATATTTTCTAATGAAATATCAAAGTAAAAATGAGTGTGAAATGAATTTAATATGTGAAATTCACAAATTAGTAGTTATATATATAACATATTATGTAAAATTAGTTTATGTTATGTATATGAAAAATATTATACAAATTAATATTATATATTATGCAAATGTTTGATAATTTGTTAGAATATTTTTCAATCCGTCAATTTGTCTGAAATTGCCCAAATTGCAATTTGTTAATTCGCCAATCAATTTGTAATTTTACTCTCAAACCATTTGCAATGCACCGCGTACACCCCCAAGTACCATATACCCTATATTTAAATGAAGGAATCTTTTTAAAAAAGAAAAAATTGTACAACTTTTGTAAGTAATTGCAAGCATTGCCTTGTGAATAGGATTGTGCACAATACTACCAAAACCGCATTGAATCGAGTCGAACCACGTATTTTTTTAGATTCTGGAGGGTGGGTTGACAAGTTGGACATCTCGACCTTGTGGATCGACGTGGATGGCGATTTGAAGAAGTCAACCACCTAACCTAACCGACTTGACATGCCTAAATTTTTTTTTTCTTTTTTTGAATATATACGTACACAGGTTCTAACTCCCACGTCCCATCCTTAGATTAAATTCGCAATTAAAGCCTAACAGCCCTAATATTTCATTGTATTCAACAGGGTCTCGTTTGAAAAATTGACTATTTTAATACGTTATTTTAGTAATTGGAACAGTTGTGTTTGCGAAGATGATTAGATTTTGTTAAAATAAATAAATAAATAAAATAATTATGAATTTAATATGATATTTTATCTTATTATTTATTTTTTTTAGTAAACGTCATATTAACTATTTTAACTTATTTTATTTTTAGCGTTGCTTTAGCCAAAAGGCCAAAAATGCCTCTTCTCAATACTTCACCTTTGAAAATCCGTGAAAGCTTTTGATTTTTTGATTTTTATTTATTTTTTATTATTGGCCTTCAATACAATGATTTTGGTTAATTTGTAAATTTGAGAAATAATTTAATGGTAGTTTTGATTAATCTGTGAATCTGAGAAATAGATTTAATTGTGGTTTTGATTTTTTTTTTTTTTTTTTTTTGATCGGCCTTGCGGGTCTGTTAGCCACTATTGCTCAATAAAAAAAAAAGTCTAATCTGTTAGCTATCGTTTTGAGTATGAAAAATGTTTGAGAAATCTTAACTATGTGGGCAAAAAATGTTTTTGCTGAAATATTTAGTATTTGAGTTTTCATTTATACTTGCTTATTATAAACTGTCAATCCGCTCGAACCGTCAAGTCAAAATTGTCATTATTTGCCAATTGAACTATCGGTTTTTGATAAACAAAACGGCAATTTCTAATGGTAATTTTATCAATCCACCATCCGTGGTTTCTATTTTACTTCTAAACAGCACCGATCTAAACCGCACCGACTTGTACTGTGCACACCTAAGCAATCTAATTAAGTAGTTTATTTGTTACAAATTGTCACATCACCTCTATATTTTTCTGCATATTTTTTCATAAAATGTCAAAAAATTACTAAATAAATAAACCCCAGACCACCCCCAAGGAAATTTTTTTTTATAATATCAAGTTTCTAGGATCCAATAATCGTAACAATAATATTGCACTAAGTACCTTTCGTATTAAAAAGGAAAAATTATTATTCAATAGCTAATAGAAAAAATTACCAAAAGGTCTATACATAAAACAGTTGCATCCTCATGTTTCTCTAAATATTTTAGATCAAATAAGTTAGAATCATAATTTCCTCTATTAAAAATTGATTCTTTTTCATTTTTGGCAGTTGATTAAAATAGTTAAGAAATTAAAAAGTTAATGAAAAAAAGGTTAAATTATTGTTTTTATTTTTTTTAAACATCTTTTTATACAATGTCAAAAAATTACTAAAAAATTAATTTCTACACCAACCTTTTAAATCAAGAATAATTCTATACATACTAACCTCTAATGATAAAAATTTATTGATATTTGAACATCTTAGATTATCTTCAATGATTTATCAAATGTTTCATCAAATTTAAATTTGATGAAAAAACTTATTTTTTGCTGCTCCAATAGTTTACCAAATCTTTAATTAAATCCAGAATTTCTCAAATCTTTAATCAGATTGAGGATGGATGTGCCTTTCATCAAACCACTGTTCATAATTGTTGAATTTTCACCACTGAATGTCCTTACGAATGTCCCTTAGATGACCACCTCAAGACAAAAATTTATAAAAAAAATTACACTAACCGATCAACTAGTATTTAATGAAATTTCAAAAATCTCTATTAAAACACTTGATATTAAATAAATCTCTTATCCAAATTTTTATTTAAATTTAATGAAAAGTTGATGCGAGATGCTCTTAGAGCATCCGCATCGTTCTAAATAAATTTTGAGTCAAATTATAACCCAAAATTCACTTTTGCTATTTTAGCTAGTCACTTTTTTAGTACTCACTGCATCAAACTCTCTGTTCTAACTCAATCCTATTAAAATATTATTTTCTTATTATATTTTTTATTCTTTATTTTTTTATTAAATTGATGAGGTGTCACCCAAACAATTCTTAAAAAATGTAAAAAATAAAAAAATTGCCGTTGACCGACTGGTCAACCGGTTTGACTAATTTTGGGTATTTTTTTTTCCTGCAATAAGCACTCACAGGACATCTGGATAAACGTCTGATGGTGAGAAAATACAATAAAAAATATATTAATTTGCCTCAAAAAAATAATAAAATATTAAATAACTAATGAATATTTGTTAAGGTAGAATAACTAATGAATATTTGTTAAGGTATTATGACAAATTCAACAAAAAAAAAAATAATTTAAAAAAATTTATTGAGACTGGTGAAATTTACTAATTATATTTTACCATTTTACTATTTTGCCTCAGCTGAAACTGATGCGAATGTTGTTACTAGCAAGAATTTAGGCCCCCGTTTGTTTTGAGTTATAATAAGGGGATTAGGATTACTAGTACCTTGAGATTAGTATATGGGGTGTTTGTTTTGAGAGATAGCCTTGGGACTATTAATATCTTGGGACTAACTAATACCTTGGTATTACTAATACCTTGTTTGTTTTGAAAGATAGAGAGGGTACTACTAATACCTTGGTATTACTAATATCCTTGGGGAGGGGATTCATAGTGAGGAGGTAGAGATGGTATTAGAAAAATAGTGAGGAGATTAGAAATTTTTTTATTTTTTATATATTGGAAATTTTTTTTAAAATATAATTTTTAATTTTTTATATTTTTTTATTTGTTTTATTATTTTATATAAAAATAATTTAACAATTCCTCACTATCAATCCCCTCACTAACAATCCCCTCATTATTAATCCCCTCACTATCAATCCCCTCCATTCTATCTCTGAAAACAAACGACTCTCACTAACAATTCCCTCACTATTAATCCCCTCACTATCAATCCCCTCCCTTCCATCTCTGGAAAAACGGGGCCTATAAAACCGCCGAGCTAGTCACACCGATTCAGATTACGAGCCGATTTCTTTAGCTCTAATCATTTTTGTAGGGATTGTCTCTCTATCTCTCTCAAAACCTTAAACCCTTTGGATCTCTATCTTCGATCCACCTGAGAAACCCGAAACCCTTGAAATCGACTCCTTCCAATCGCTTGAGATTGTTGAAATCCATCACGCAGCTTGAAATCCAGGTATTTATTTTTCTGAAATCGTCTTTCTGATGATGGAGAATTGCTTCAAATTTTCTTGAGATTAGTTGGGATTGCTTGACATTTGTTTGAGATTGCTTGATATATGTTTGAAATTGCTTGATTATTGTTGTTGTTGTTGTGATTTTTCAGCCTGTTTGTTTGTTTTTTTTTTTTTTTTGGTGAATTTTGTTAAAAAACAATAGGGCAAAATAAGACTGAATTTTGTTTCAGTCTATTTTAACCCTATATATAAGGATTACTCGCCACAATGGTCAACGAAAGAGACAAGGAGACACAGATAGTTGGGAGGAAGAAGGGCAAGGTGCTGGCCACTGTTTTGGCCCACCGAAATGGGGAACAAAACTGCCATGGTGGAGGAAAGTGGAAGCAAGACCATTGCTGGTGATCATCGGAAAGCCGGTCCAGTGAAAATTCTGTATTCAATCTATAGTCATAACATAAGCAAGGTAATTAAACCAATCAACCAGAGATTCTATAAAAATTGAACAAAGAAATCAAACCTATCACCACAGGTAATCAAATCAAGATTAGTCACCCTTTGCTAAACCAGTCCAGAGAGAAAAGCCTACCATAATTCAACTAAAGTTCATAACACAATCAAGGCAATCAAACCCACAACCATGAACAAAAATTGAACAAAGAAATCAAACCCACCATCATAGGTAATGAAATCAAGATTTTTTGGGGCTTCCTTGGGCAGCAGAAGTACCATGGGTATTGAAATTCCTATGATTTTTTTTTTTTTTTTGAACTATTGAAATTCCTATGATTGTTTGCCACTATTTTGCACTCTCGTAAAGAAGAATGTAAAATCTTCTCTTTTTTATTGTCTTTAGCAGCTGGATATACTTTTTTCAAAAAGAATTTGCTGAATAGAGAGTTTACTGGAGAGAAGATCCATAGAAAAGTAGAATGGCACTTTAGTTATTTTAAGAAAATGTAATGGTATTTTAGTTTCAAAAAATTGTTGTGTTCATACCCACATTCAAAAGAGGTGTGTATTACATCTCCAGTTAGTTTAAACAGAATTTGTAACTGTACGTTTTAGTCCATAAAGTATATGGGGGTTATGTAGTTATTTCTAAATGAGAGGGTGTGATCCACACATGGGCCACAAGGAGGTTTAAGTAAAATTTGCCCTTAAAAATATTATTTTCTGTTTGGGGGAGTTTTTGTTGGGAAAGGATGAGGAAGGGAAGCAGGGAAGGAAGGAAAGCAGTTGGGAAGGAAGGAAAGCATTGCCAAAGCTTGTGCTAAATTTGGCACAAGCTTTGGCATTGCTATAATGTGGCGGCCAATATAGGATGCCACTAGAGACCTGTTTTTGTTAACTCTTGCCAAAATTTGGCAATGGCAGCTCCTTTGGCAGCCCACTGTGGATGCTCAGACTCTTCTTCTCCTATTCAATTTTGACAACTATGATCTAGAGATACTGTGTAAATCATGTCCATTTTGTGGATTTTATGAATTGCCTTCAACAACTTGTTTTTTTGGTTATTCTTTGCAGCTGAATCGAACAGTACAAAAATGTCTAAGAAAAAGCAAATGGGTAGAGGAGGAGGAGGATCATCATCAACAACAGCAACACCAACAAATTATATGGATTTCAAGGACCAGAAAATGGACATGAAGTCCATTATGAAAGATATTGAATCTTTAGGTACTACCTTTTGTCTCTTACACTTCACATTCAACTAATATAAAATCTGTGTTTAAATAGCTCACCTGATGTGGTTTCGTGTGTGTGTATTATTGAGAGGGATTTAAGGCTGTGTATTGCATTGTCACCATTTGTGGAATGTGATAGGACAAAATTTAGAGGATTTTGTGGAAGTAACCAATGAGATGAATCCAATTAATGTAACTTAACTTGCTTGGATTGACATTTGATTCCTTGCACAGAAAAGTACACCATTGCTGTGCCTGTTACTCCTTCAATATGAACACAAATCTTTGACCTCTGCTGCTATGTTTGTAATAACCTTATTCACTTATGTTTTTTTGTAATTTCCACAACGGCTTATTAACCATGGCTTGCCGTGGTGGAAAGAGCTTCATGGGGAAATTTTCTTGCAAATAGCTTTTCTAAGCTTGTGTTTGCATAAAATGAATAATTTCGAGTTCTGTTAACAATCTCACTTTGTGAAACTGAATTTTCTGTTGATGTGATCTGGAAAACACCTAGCCACCATCTTTTCTCATATAAGCTACTGAAGAAATCAGTTCTAGTAGCTACCACTTACGCAAAATTTTGATACATCTTATTTTACTTATGAGGTTCTAAATCCTTGTGGAGGCCATGAGGCCAGGCCTTATATTGGAGATTTTACTACCTTTCCATGAATAATTAAGTATTTCCTATTAGCTATTTTTTGGAGTTGAACTTCATTTCAATTTAACTTTTGGACGTTTGACTAGATTAGTGGCCAAAGCAATTTTATATCATATTGAAAACCTCAACAAGGTCATTATGATGTGCTTTTTAAGGTTTTCCCTATGAAGCCCTTCATATATGTAAAATCACTAATGACTCACAAAACTAACTTGGTCTAAGAATGTAAGTAGGTTTATTGAGATGATTGTCGTTGAGAGCAACAAAAGACCTGCAACAAAAATCGTAATTTTAGCCTTACTAGGTTTCAGGGAAATATAAAGCTATACACCCCTTCAAAACGACACTGCTGAGACGGTTTCGTCAATGTATAAGTATGGATCTTTGGACAAAGTTCTGAGATAGTTTCATCAATGTATGGAGACATGCGTGTTGGAGCGAAGTGCATGGTACAAACTAGCACATTGTATCTTAGATATTGACCATAAAAAATAAAGAAAGAAAAAGGAAGAGATTCATTCATGTATAAATGCATACATCGGACATGTAAGTTTGTTATCATGTCTTGATTGTATCCATGAGTCATGACCAATTTTTTTTGGAATTGTGTTAGCATGTCCATATGATGTAATGTCTTTATCTTTTAAGCATGTACATGGTTCATAGTAGTCATCTATCCCGCAGCAATGCTTATGTTTTCCTATGCATCAACAGTAGATTACCACTTCCCATATGAAGGTATGTGATGTTTTTGTCAGTACCAACTCACAGAGGCAAGGCCATGTTGATTGGTCCCTGATGCAACCCATTATGCACTTAATAATCTATACAAGCGAGTATGACCAGAAATTTCATTGATAATATGATACTATTTATCTTATATGTGGCTATTTTATGCCTGCTTATGAGCACTTTGGGGTAAATTTGTGATTACACTTTGATGGATGTGAATGTCTTCCTTTTTTTCACAATTCACACAAGCTATTCGGACTGTGTAGTTAGTTAAAGCTGTCAAATGATAGATCATTTAGTTTTTAACACAAACATATCTGATGGCTAGTAAATCAAATCATGCATTGTAGTTTTTTTATCATTTAATGGTAGATCTACTTCTTTCATGCTTGAATGTAATCAATCTGTGGCTATAGTTTCTTCCCAATGGTGACAATGTTGAATTGTTTGCATTTGCTTTTAGGTTGCATTCTGTTGAGTAGTGTCCCTGTTAACTTTGCCTGTTTGCTTACTATCTTGCCATTTCAGTACCCTCACATATGACATGGAGAGAGAGGAAGGAATTGGAAAACAGGAAGGTTGTTGCTCTTGGTGGAAAGGTGAAAACTACTTGTCCCTTCAATATTTTCTTTTGACGTAGCTTGGTTTAAAACTTTTATTTATTTAAACCTTGTTATTAAGCACATTTTCCTTTGACACAGCCTCCCAAAAAGCAGAGGTTACCACTAAGTGTAGCACGAGTTACAATGAAGAAACAGAAAGAAAGAGACCAGAAAACGCTCCAAGAGGTTGTTTGATTGTGTTGCGTTGTTTTGTCTGTAGCTATATTACTTGTCTTTTTGCAATCTGGCAGTGCTAACTATTTTTTATTTTATTTAGAATTTGATACTTGGACGATTTGGAGCGAAGCTTGGCAATGGTACTAAGAAAGTAGGAGAGAAGCGCAAGCGTGAAGACATGGTTCTGAAGTCAACTGAAGGTCATTTCAGAAATGGTGTTCTGGATGTGAAGCGTTTGATGAAACAGTCTGCACCTAAAGAACGTGATATCAATACTTACGCATTTGATAATGAAGGGAAGAAGAAAAAGGGTGGTAAAAAGAACCAAGGAAAGAAGAAAGGTGGTGGTAAAAAGCGTCATTGAGAACACCATAACTCTTAAAATTCTTGTTTGGAAGCAGATAAGGTTTTCTCCCTCCCTTTTTCCCCCCCTCTTCCTCACTCTTTTAATGTCATCTGAGATTCTTTGGTGTTTGGATGAATCATTGATTCTCCATAAACATCAATGATACTGGTCATGCAATTTTAGGATTGCACAGCCCTTGAGCGGCGTTGCAATGGGTTCATTGGGTTTACATTTGCGCTGTAAATGCAGTCATAGTGTGGTCTTCAGAAAAGGCCAAAATGTGTTTGGGCGGATGGGCTTGATGTAAGCACAGATTGGCCTATTTCTAACTAAAAGTGTATTTTGGTTACCATTTTGATGATGTATCAGATGTCTTTGGTGCTTCTTGTTTAGAAATATAGAGCCAAAAAAAGATAGAGTTAAAGAGTTTATGTCCGACAATTCTACCTTTTAAACTGTTTAAATTTGTTTGATCTTGAATTGTCAAGCAACATTTGTCCGTGGGACAATACACGACCCAACAAATTTAAGCAGTTCAAATGTAATGTTGCTATAATAAACGACTGAATACTATTTCATATGATTAGGGCTGCAAACGAAACGAACCGAACTAAGCTGAGCTGAGTTTTGCTGAGTTCAAGTTAAGCTCGTTTATTTATTGAACTCGTTTATTGAGCTTGAGGTCGGCTCGATAAGAAACTGGGCTCGAGCTCGGCTTGACTCGTTAACATTAACGAAACCTGAGTTGAGCTCAGTTCGGCTTGATAATTTTTTTTTAATATTATTCATATTGTTTAAATAAAAAATATTATTTATATATTTTTAATATATAAATAATATATTTATTATATAATTTAAATAAAGATAACGAGCTCGGCTCATTTAGTAAATGGGCCGTGCCGTTAACGAGGCAAGCTGAGTTTGTTCATGAACCTTACATATGGTCAGGATGTTAAACGAGTGTTGGGTACTGTGTTTGGGCTTATTTTAGGATTTATTTTGATGATGTGAATTATTCATTTTTTAAAGTATATCGAGTAGAATATGTTTGTAAAAAATCAAGTCAATTAGACTTGGATATTCTTTTCATCAAATTACTTTGGCATTTAATTTTATATTTCTATTTAGACTTATCATTTATTTTGTAGATACAAATGATTTAATAAAATAGTTATTAATATCTGATCAATTTAATTTTTTATAATTATATTTTATTTAATGTACTCTAAAAAAGTAAACATGTTGGATTATCAAAATGGGCTCAATTTGTCGCACAACAGTGTCCATAGCAGCCACCCAACTCCCATGTTATACATAATCATGTCATTAGGTGGTCAAAAATAAAATTTTATTGTTGTGTTTGGTTTATAAATTTGGGAAGAAATTTAAAAATAAAAAGAAAAAAGATAAGTAAAATATAAATATAATATAATTATATTTAATCTATATTTTACGCATTTTTTTTCTTTTTCTTTCTAAATTCGTAAACCAAAAACAGCTTAATTGTTTAGAATATGTGATGCAGTTTCCATATTGAATCAAAGGGATTGAAAAACTGAGTTGCTTTAAATGTAAAAAATACTTTTTAAATTAATTCAGAAAAAGAGAGAAATTGAAGTTCAAGTAGAGAAAATTTTAAGATTCATTATATTGAAATTGAAATTGAAAAAGATATGTATAACAACCGGAATTATTTTCGGTCAACATATGTTGCCCTAACTAAATTAAGGTTCTGAGATTATTTGTCTTTTCTAAATATGACTCATCTCATGAATTGAATATATGTAGAAATCAATTGCATAATAACATATAAGTACTGCTAGAGTCTAAAGACAAACATTTGAGACTCCTAAATATATCTACAATGATATGGCAAAAAAATAGAATTCACATAGTTAAGTATGTGACAAATCAAAAGTTAACACTCATTATTTCACATCACGGTAGGTGAAATGGTCAATATTTTATTAGAGATCTTAAACATTTTCTATAATATTTTCTCAATCATAGGAATCGAAAACTTTATTTAAATAAATAATATATAAAAGTTATATAATGATCATTCAAATCAAAACTAAAATAATGCATCTATATTGCAATACCCCAAAATATCTAACACAATAATAATTACCCATTTATGTTTAATTTCACTATCTTGAATCAATAAAATGCTTCTCTTAGTATTTTTGTAAAATTCACCGATAATTTTATTACAAAAAGCTCTATTTTTTATTGAACTATAGTCAAGAGATTACAATTTCAATTACAATTAGAGCAATGTCATCATAGTTCAAGAAGTTAGATATTTCAAACAAAATACCTGAGAGCTTACAAATATCAAGGCAAGGGCCTTGGTGCAACAAAATGGGCACCCGGTCTTATAACAAATAAGTTTAGAGCTTTTACAATATCACATCCATGAGCCTTCGTGTTCCATTCATGAAATCCGCCTCTTAACCACTGGTTTGGAGGCACATTACCAAGTCTTGAAATGTTAGATAGAAATGAACTATATGCTCAATAAAGATACATTTAATAAAACAATAGTGATTAATAGCTCGAAAGACCCTTCCCCGAATCCCCCCGAAATCAAAACGACATCGTTTTCGTCGTTTTGATTTTATTTATTTATTTATTTATTTTCAGAAGAAGAAAATCAGAAGAAGGAAGGAGAAGAAGAGAAGAAAGAAGGAGGAGGAAGAAGAAGAACTGGAGGGGACCAACAAAATCGGGCTGGAGGCGGGGGGCGGAGGCAGAGGCGGAGGCTGCGAGGCAGAGGCGGAGGCGACGGCAGGGCTGCGACGAGGCGACAGCGGGCAGTCAAAAGTGTTGGGTAGGTGAAAATCACGCTCGATTGGGCGCTCGAAGCTCCTCCTCTTCCCCTCTCTTCTCTCTCTCTCTCTCTCTCTTTTTCTCTTCTAAATTTCGGGCTGTTTGGGGGAGGGAAATTTTGAGAAAAAAATCATTTCTCTTATAAAATATCTATATGGCACTACCATAACCATGAACAAACTTCAATTAACATGTTTATATGAAACAACAATAAATGCACCATTATTCAACTTAAATAATTTCCCAACACCAAGATGGTAAATACGTCATGAAATCTCTTGTAAGAGTCTCAATAATACATATCAATAGATTTATAACTTAAAAATATTTTCATATTTGTAGGCTATTAATATGGTGTTTAAGGCAATAGACACCCTTATTCTTGTTTGAAACAAAATTTAAAATTTATGATCAAATTTATCATAATTAAAAAATTAAGAATCAAAATAACGTACAACGCATTTGCCAAAAAAAATAAAATAATACCAACTTCAATGATTTTTGGTATAGTATTTACTAAAAAAATAAGAGTAAACAATCAATAGATCCTAATAGTTGGACTTAACAAGTCCTATTGAAAATAAGTCTTGATAAAATTGTTGCTAAAAGTATGGATGAGCAGCGGATATACCGATCCGCCAAAACCGACCGACCGACCCGAACCGAACCAATCCGCCGCATTTTGGGCGGATGTGTGATGACGAACGGATGGTTGCGGATTGATTTTCTCCAATCCGCCAATCTGGTAGACGGATGACGGATTTGAGATTCCTTTGGCCGCAACCGAACCGCCAAACCGCGAGCACCCCTAGTAATTTATAAGACTATGTTTTTAGTTTGTTTAAATATTCTGTTTGTGTTTTTAATTAAAAAAGAATTTAAATATTCTGTTGAATTTTTTTTTTAACTTGAATATCTTTTTTGTATTGAAAAAACTAAACGTATTATTTATCTATATTTTTTAGTTTTTAAATCTATCTTCAAAAATAATAAATAGAAAATATAATATATTCTGGTTGATTTTTGTTTTAAAAAACAGATATAGATGTAACAATACAGAAACATACAATCTCTACTATTGTTATGTTCATATGCTGTGATTGTAGTATGTGGATGAGGCATGCAGTGATTGTGATATTCTAAAGTTTCAAACTTTCTTACTTTAGATAAGGCATGTAATGATTGTAATATTTTTTTTAAATCATTGATTGTGATACTTTATTATTATTATTTTTTTTTGAGGAAGTGCACAAGTTGAATTATATTGAAAATTTATAAATTTTAAACCGCTAAACCGATTTGCATCCATCCGATAAACCACCAATCCGCTCAATCCACATCCGGCGGATTGGCGGACAGATGCGGATTGATTTTCTCTAATTCGCTAATCTGGCGGACAGATGGCGGATTGGAGGTTACGTAGCCACAACTGACCCGCGTCCACCCCTAGCTAAAAGTAATTTTTTATATATGCCGCTAAAAATTAATAATTAATGATTTTTTTTATCATTATTTTTATAAATTGTCATTCTAATTTATAATTAGCGATTTTTTTATGAATTTTTTTTTTTAAGGACGTCTTAGATAATAAATCCACTACACGTACGTACCAAAAAAATAAAGGGAAAAGAAAATGCCATTTTCGTTTCAAAACTTGAGAAAGGAGGAGGATTGATAGAGACAGAGATTGATAGCAAAGAAAGGGGCAAAGAAAGACTCATCTCAGGAGGAGGAAGCAAAATGGATGAGTTCGAATTTCAACGCATTCTCAATCTCTTCCCAGTCGTTCGCCCCCGCGATTATCATGTCTCTCTCTCTCTCTCTCTCTCTCTCTCTATTATCGCCCTTTGATTACGTTTTTCTTCACAGTTCCATCCTTAATTCTCTGTTCTGTGTTCCGGTTTTGACTGCTCTTATTTAGTAGTTTATAACTAGTTGGAGTAAAAGTTTCTTGATCTTCTTGTTATATGTATTCGTGCTATTGTGTGTGTGTGTGTGTGGTTTTTAATTTTTTAATTTTTTTTAACTGATAGATGGATACAGATTGAGTTGTGATCTTTTTAAGCTATAGTATCACAGGTGATGAGTAATTATATTTGGTTGATTTGGTTGTTTAGTTGAGCTTGCTTTGCATGAATTAGAAAAAGATCTTTACTTTAATAATAAAAATAAAATAAAAATAGTTAGAGGTATTTGCTCTTCCATGTTTATCATCATAAAATATATAGGAGCAGCAAATTTAATAGGTTTTCTTAGCTTGATTTAACTTAAGACTTATGCTGCACCTGGGTAAGAAAAATTTCGTGCAAAATGGATGCGTATGTTTCAATTTACATTGTCGAATGCATGTTCAGATACATGGTATGCTTTCATTCCAATAAACTAAATTTTGCAGGAAAAATAATAAAACCCTAAACTCACCTAGGATGATAAATTTCAAAATTATGTCAAGAGTCTTTTGCATCTTGGGAATATTATGTTTGATCCATTATTTTACTTTAAGGAAAAAAAAGAAACAAAAAAAAAGTCATTGCCATGACTTAAATTATCTATGCATATTCATCTATGTGATTTGATAAGTTGTCCCTTTTATCTTGTCTTCGTAGTGTAGCCTAGGTTACTATGTCATCATCTAGGTGACATTATGTTCTGTTTTACTTTTTAGTATTATGTAGTTATTCTTATCAATTTTACACTTTTATGAATTGAGAACAGATTGGCAATTCAAAATCTTTGATTAGTTTGTGCTTGACAAGTTTCAACTTTCTCAATCTATAATCCATTGCGATACCGTGCATAACTCATCTTCATAGAGATGACAACAGGTTGAATTTGGGACAGAACGCCCCCTATCCTAACCCCACCCCACCATAAAGAACTCTAGCCCTAAACCTTCAGCAACCCTTCCCAAACCCTCCCTTGATTAAGTTGTAAAAATCTCTGCCACGCCCCAATGTCTTTCATATACATAGGACATGTATGTATATGTAGGTATGTGTTTTTTATTTTATTTTATTGTGTACGTATATCAAACATATGTATACATGAAACCCCAAAAATTTAAAAAATTTGAAGAAATTCACTTGACTGACCAAAGAAATCTAAAAGATACTAGGGCAATGATGGTAATGAGAGGCTAAGAAGACAATGCCCATGAAGCCCACTACCATGACGATGCAGAGGAAGTTGACAAACACAACACAATTAGGGAAGTCCATGATAATGGCCACTAATGGGAAGGCAAGAGCGTTCCCACTTATTGTGATGAAAATATCCACAATTATACATGTGTGTGTTTATGTTAAAGAGAAAGAGGAAGGCAAAGAAAACAAAAAGAGAGAGATGATGGTGGCCACTGACAAATATCAATGAAACCCTTATTGACTAACATTTAAATGAGGGTATTCAAAAAGATGTAGAGAATTATTGCGGACATTCTTGTAAAATAACTATCTAATCAGAGTGGGGTGAGACAAGGACACCATACACCACATTCTAGGCCCGACTTGAACCCTACTCAGGTTTGTCGTTAGTGTTTTTTATTTCAATCACAAATGGCCTGGTAGGGGCTAGACTTGAACCTGACTACTTTGCAGATTTAATGTTTTGGCCGGAAGTTTTTCCACTTTAGCTATGCGATTTAACAAGACTGGAAGGTCTTACTTGTCACTTCATTTACACTTTTATGATTATTGCATTGAGTATGAGGAAATAAATTACTATGGTTAATAAGAGCAAGAGTTGAGAACCTGAACTTTGGTGGATTCACTTAGTGTGGCTCTGGCATTTAGTGGTCACATGCTTTTAATTGATTTCTGTGACTTTGGAGGCAAAAAAAAGGGCAAATGCATTGTGGCATTGTGTTGAATTTGCAATCTTTTGGGTTATTTGGCTGGAAAGGAATGCAAGAATTTTTTAAGCCAAATTTGTTGATGCAAATTCATTGTGGGATGGAGTGTGTCTCTTGGCATTGTTTTGGGCTTCCATTTCGAGTACTGGTGGGGTCTTGCTTTTATTGATTTCTAGAGATTGGAAGTCGGTTGTGACGCATAGTTTTGTTGTTTGACTCGTTTGAGTTTTTTGTCACCTTCGTTGTCCTCTTTTGTATCTTATTTCTTTTTCAATCAAATCTTTTTGTTGCCGACCAGAAAAACAGAACCTGAACTTTCAAAATCTCTTGATTTCCATCTGGTTGTTTTTGTAAACTGTCATGTTAAGTTCTTTATCATTCATCATATTCTTCATACATTTTAGTAACATCTTCTCTGGTTATGCCTTCCCCTACCTTAAAGTTTGCTTCTGTATTTCTTCTCTCTTTCCTTCACCAATCCGCATTAATCATCATGACTGCCTTTCTTTTGGTCAACTCCTTAGATTACAAAAATGACCATTCTTTCATTTCTTTATTTTTTATTTTTTATTTTCTCTCTTTTCTAATGAGATTATTGTGGCTAATTTAGCAATATTTATTTTTCAGTGAGTCCTATCTAAAATTCTCTCTTCTTTTTATTTCCTAATTTTTGCAGCATTTTAACTAGTAAGGATATGAAATCAATGCTTTTCCTTGTCACTTCTAGCCATCTGTTCTTGGGTTTCCATTGTACTTATTCTTCCGTTGACTTAACGTGGTTTAAAGATTTTTTTGGCAGTTTTTTTATGTTTGTTGTTACATGCACAACAATGGTCAGTTGCCTCTATTTATCAAAATAATAATAATGATCAGTTGCTGCTGCATTATAGTCCTTACTAGTTGCAAAAATATGTCTTGATACATGAACATTTTATCACCATTTTTTTTTTCAACATTCTCATTTATTGTTGAGGATTGGTGTCTTACATGCTTGCAAACTATTTTGGAGTATTCAATTTCCTTTGGATGTCAAACAATTATACTTACTGGAATGTGTTTAGCAAAATGCACTTGCTAAAACATAACATGCTTCCTTTTCTTTCCTCTTTCCTGTTGTAATGTTTTTTCCATCAATAAAACATTACTTGTTTTTTGAAAGAAAGGAGTCCAATAGCTGGAAGCATATGTACCCAGGAAAAAAATCTAAAGAGAACATCTAAGCAACATTGTTTAATGTATGATGGCTTAGCTTGAAATCTATCGCAAACTTGGGTACGCGTATGTAAACACATTATATTTTATATGATATGTAAAACGGTTGTTTCTCCATGTTATAATATAAGCTAAAGCATTAGCCGTTATTAAATTTGAGTTTTTTCTTCTTCCATTATCATACATGATGAATTGGCTTGTAGAATATGGATATGCCAAGTACTTGGGTCAAACAGATATTCCAAACCCAATACCCATGACATGAGTATGGAGTCCATTCCTGGAGTCCATTTAACAAGTGAGGTGAGAACATAACTTCAGGAAGTTATCCCAGAGAATAAGACTGGTGTACTTTGGAAAACTAATGGTACTATGACATATGTTCCTTACACCAAGTCTTTGGAATTTACTATCTTTTATATCCACAATTACTGTTGTCATAATCAGATCATTTATAATCCATCAATAGAAAACTAGATAGCAAAGAAGTTGACAACTGGAAAATAAATAAATAAATAAACCCAGGCAGTTGTACTAAAAATAGTTTATATGTTGCTGAAAATTCGATGCAATTTTGGACAAAATTATGGGTTCTTTAGATTGAATCTAGATCTAAATGCGCTCAAGGGGTTTCAAACTTCAAAGCAAGTGTCAATACGCCTTTTCCAAATCATTTGGATCTTATATGCTCTGTCCAAATTTTCAAACAATGAAGGGTATTTTATAAAACTTTTCAACAATGAAAATTGATGTAGATGAACTTGTAAGCTTTGGAAAATACGGAGTAGGGATTGTTCTAGTTTGTATCCGAGCAAGAGCCAGCCCTTTTCAAAGTTTTCAAGATTTGAGCTATTCTTAGTTTTCATCATCAGATGGCATTCCAGGATGGTGCCTAAGTCCTTGAGCTGATCAAAATGGGGTTTCTATAGACACTTGTTGAGATTAGAAATGTCAAACTTTCTGAAATGATTCAAAATAAAAATAAAATGTAATTTTTTATGGAACCTTCTTGATGTTTAGAACTCTAAAATAGCTTTATCTCTTAAGAAATTCACTGGAAAAGAATTTTTGAAGAATTAATGAAAATGTTTCTTTGATGGTTGTGGTTTATAATATTAGTTGTGCATAGGCATACAAATTTTGTACCATAATTTGTTGTTAATATTTGTTACTATCTGCTGTTTCCAACATGTGTTTTTACAATTTTAGGTTGACTCGGCATCATCAAGTCAATCAACTGCTCAATCAGCACATAATGACATGGTATTGCTTTACTATTCTTCACAACTTTGTTACATTTTAACATATAACCTTGTCGCAATAACTAAAGGAATGGCAGGGTACATGGGGTGGAGCGGATGTAAAGGAAATCCCAATTCAAGGAACTGGACCGCATGGTATCGTTTCATTCTAAACATGTTTAGTGTCATTTAGTCTCTTGCTAACCAGATTTATAGTTGTAGTAGTTTTATGATGAGATTTAAGCACCCTTTCGCATCTGGAAATGATTAATGTGATTCATTGTTAATTCAGTTTGGTTGATAAACTTTTGCAAAGTGGTGATAAAAAAAAAAAACTTTCACAAAGTTGTCACATTTCTTGTTTGATAAATCTTGTTAGTTGTTGGGAGCTCCCTTGATTAAGTGGAGCAGAGATTGTACATATATACATAAATGTTTTCTTTTAACTGATCTCTGATCCTGAGGAAACCCTGGTGTAACTGATAATTCTTGGAGTCAATACCTATATAACTCACTGGAATAATTGAAACCTGGTCTTCCTCTTAGTTTGCTTTGTCTTTAGCCCACCTTTCGCTTTCTCTCTAACAAAATCATTTCACTTGTTCTTGTTTACCTGGTGGCATTTCAAAATTCTGGGATGCTTGCGTGCATTACATTTCTTTCTATTTTCACTTAGTTGATGAAATCAAAATTACACGTGTTGCATGGATGTGTCCTTGCAGATGCATTTTGGAGGAAATTAAGGATGGCTGCAGAAAAGAAGGTAAGAATGCTTGTTGTGTTCATACTTTATGAACACAAAATATTCACTGCATGATAATTAATTTTAACATCAAAATATGTGTCTTGGGAAGTTCCTCCAGTTGATATTAAGAATATGCTTGGATTTCCAATGACATCATGTGAATGGAATCATTCGACTGCCTTGTATGGTGTATGAAACAAGTACATTTTGTTAGGTTATCAGAAATTTAAGCTGTGTTACTTTTTTTATGCCTAACTAATGTGGCTCATCTTAAGGATAAAAATAATTGATTGCTGTCAAATGGTATAGGAAACAAGATGGACTATGAGTGACATTGGTGACACCAGTATCAAACAATAATGGTGTAAAGAAGATTTACTCTTTTATGATTTCCATCAATTCTCTCTGGTTCAGAGTAACACTCCTCAAGATTATAGTACTTAAACAAATTAGTATCGAAGTAGCAAAATTCGTCCTCAATAGTATGAGTGGCATTGGTGATTGGATGATTCTGCCAATGAACAAGATACCTCCAAAATGCCATCATGCAAAGAAGCAACACTTTGAGCCTTAAGAACACCATTATTCCGATCCTTAAGCTGCTATATAAGTGGCAAATGATGGGGAATAGTTATTAGAACTGAAGTAGAAGGAACACCACCTATAGGTCAACTTTTTGGCAGATTGGGATGCTCAGCAAGAAATAAATCTTCAACAGTGAGAACATGACTAGTAGTCATATATGAAAGTAAGCAAAGTACATATGCATTATGATATGATAGGTCCAGTTTGGCTTGAGCCTAAAGTTTTGTGAAGGAAGTTTTTTGATAACGCTCAAGGCATACACGAACCAGAACATAGTCTCCTTCATTAGAATCTAATTTCCTATGATGTATGTGGGTATCTATATCGTGCTTGGCACGTGGCGAGCCCTATGGGTGTCACGGCATCGTCATCGCACATCCACGTGGCAAAGCCCTAAGGTGCCACGATGAGTTGGGGTTGTATGCCTAGTCTAAGCGGGGGCATGCACACCACCAAGTATGAAAACAGGACTATAGCTCACCTAGAGCTCTCCATGGCCCTTCATGACTCATAAGAAATATATTCTCTACCCACTCACCTCAGCTCCATAGCAACATAGTTAGACCTTTGGCTCACCTATGTTCGCTTGGTTGCTCAGGATGACCCCTTGGCTCACCCATGTACTCACCCCTTTGGTTGCCTAGGTTGGGAGCAAGACCTAGGCACTCCTGCTTGGGATCATTCGAGGATTGTGGATTGGAGGCTAAGAACTTGGGGTCGTCAAGGTCATGTAGCTGTCTCCCTGCAATGGCAGCTCCTCCTTGACTTGGCCTAGAGAAAAGGATGTTGACCGTACACTTATATCTGTTGCACATATGATACGGCTCTCAAGATATCATACCTAAACCTGCGGCTCTTGTGATGCAGACTTCCCAAGGACCTGAATTATAGGACACATCTAGTAGGGCTGATATCACCTTCCTGTCGTGTTGAGGAGAACTTGTCACCTGTTTTGAGGTTGCTTGGGCTCCAATACTCCTGGAGTCTATATAACAGCATCATAAGTGCAGCCACAGTCATAACAAGAGCAACAAGAACCATAGCAACAACATAAAAAGTATTCAAGGTCTCTCACTGCCACCCCTTTGCTCTCTAAGCCTGCCTTGGTCTTCTCCTCTTCCTCCTCTAGTGATCTCAGGCCATTAATGTGCCCACCATCTTCCCAGAGGTCAACGACCGATCGCCTCTAACTTCCCTCATCCACAATGTACATCGACAAGAAGTTTATTATTCTCATTACTAACAATTTTTCACCTAGTATTAGCGTATAGCTCACAGTCAACATTAAATCGTGTCACTTAATTCCTTGACTAACCTGGGCATCACCCACTCAACTCTAAAAACAAGCACATTTAACCAAGTCCAAATCATAATTCCAAGTTTTAAGTTACTCAGCTCCATCCCTCAAGTACTTTAATTCTTCTATTCAAGTGATCCTACACAACCAATATACACATCACATCAAACATAAAGGAATTGCATTAGTATTATTTAATTGGGATATTAGTCCATTCTAGGTCTTATAATAGGCATGTTGGTGAAAGAGTCTTCATCTTAGACCCTCAAAGTGACTAAACAAACTGGTGTTTGAAAATAAGGGGAAAAATAGTAGAACAGTGATCCCTGCTCAAGTGACGAGTTGAGTGCACGGTGCTCAAATTCCAGTAGCCATAGCCTGATAAACATGGGATATTTGCTTGAGCGTTGAGATAATCTAGGCTATTTCTGGGATTCCATTGTCTGGCTTCCAATACACAGGGATGTGTGCTCTTGAAATGGGCACCTAGCCTCAGTTCTAAGGTTTTGTTTTTTGAAGGTCCAAACCATGTCCTTTCTTAGGTCCCTTCAAAGGTCTCAACATGTTCTTGTCACAATTTAATAGTCTCAAACAAGAACATCAAATTCTTTAACAGATACCAAATTAGGGCTTCCCACAGCAAAACTATGCATTTTATGATGCTTCAACATACACAATCGTAAAATTTCATTTTCGTCAATTATTCCTTTTGATTCATGATAAAACGGGTTCTCTTCTGAGTTAAGTGGAGAATATAAGCTCAAAATGAAATTTTTTACCTTGAGTTCAATTCTTATACAAGCCTCACCCGATGTCCTCCATTTTCTTCCCTTTTCTCTCTTCTTTCCTTCACTTCCTGTCTATACAAACGTGAAATTTCTAGCACATGCAACCCTCTTATCTCTTCCTTTTTTTCTTTTTTTCATATTTTTCACGAATTATTCAAGCAAATTATGCATATATATGAAAACAACTGGCACAACTACAATTTATAGAAGAATTAAACAAGTAGGAGGTGTTATTTATACACTAGGACACCCCAACAAAACGATGCATCTTTGTGAACTAATTATCATGCTTCTTAATTAATTCAAGCTTATTTCTACTTATGTACGATTGACACACTTAAGGCTTGAGGATAATTAACATTAAATCATGTCACTTGAGCACCTTGATTATGATAAATTATGATGACATTAGGCTAATAAAGGATACTCTAATTAAGAAGTCTCTATCGAACATGCAAGCAGCAGTATGCTGCCAATATATTCTCTTATTAGAGTCACAATTTATGGTGGAATAGTACAAAATCACATTAATAGCAAATATAAAACATGCTCAACTGTGAAGCACTCAAATGGCATAAGATTATTACATGTAGGTCCTTTCCATACCAAAGTATCCTTCACCCCTAACTGCATGGGGCTCTTCTGAGGTGTCCCGAAAAATGCCTCCACAGACACCTCTCTGACAAATGCCCATGTGTTTTCACATTGTTCCATCATCAAATTTGTGTATAGATTGATCACTATGTTCATGGAAATTATAAATGTAATTATATATGGTAACTTTTATATTTGCTTATATTTGCTTTCAAGTTAACCATCCTTGACAATAACATTACATAAAACTACATGGTGTTGAACATAAGCATCTATAAGCTATTTGCCTGTAAAATCATAGGAAAACTTATAGCATCCAAATCTTCCTATACATGTTTTAATTAGCTTTTCTAATACTTTCATTAATAAAATTTCTGGTTAAGGTTTAAGTTTCATTTTTTTTCATTTCTTTGGAGATATGTTTACAACAAAACATGATAATAGCACATACACGTTCAATATTCGTAAATTCATAATGAATAACCAATCAATATAACTAAATTAGTTTGATTGTTTTCAAGTGAGGGGAGAGTCAAGTGACTAAGGTAACTTGGAGACCCGTGAAATCACATTTCTCTGAATTTCTGGAAATTAATCAATCAGTGGTTTTTTATTTTGTTGTTACATAGGGATATGTCATTTATCTTTTCTTTTTTTGTTCTCCCATTCCCTTTCTCGCTTTGCTTCTAAAAATATTGTCAGCAACAGATGAAAAATGTAGCGAACGAAAATATAAAGAGATGGGGAAAACAACTAAATTTTGGTGCACTTGTTACAGGTGGGCGCAGCAGAGGCTGAAAAATTTTGCAAGGCTTTTCAAATAATTCACAGGCAACTTGTATGCAATTGTAGTATTTAAGAATCATAATGTAGCCCTTTGTTAAACATTATTTGACTTTTCTCATGAACTGATTTCTTTTTTTTTTCTTCTTGTCTATTAAACGATCATGTAGGTTTATGAAGAATTGAGTTTAGCTGCTGCCAGTAGTATTTTGAGCTCATCACAGAGTTCTGAGGAAGAATAGTTTCTTGCAGTTCAATCATTTATGCTATAAATAATCTGGTTTTGTTGGGTTGCGATGACTCTAAAATGTTGGATGGCTCCAACTCTTACCTTCGCTTGGTACACTGATTGTGATCTCAAAGTGCTCTTTGCATCTGTAGTTTGTTGGCAGACTCTTTATGTTGATTGATCTGTTGTTTTTTTTACTCAGAGGGGGATTGATCTGTTGTCGTGTCGAAATTCTGGTAAGAGGTAGCAATTGAGATGTTCACTTAAAATGTCTCTTGAAAATGAAAATAGAATGGTGTGAATCTGACTGAATCCATTTTTTTTTTTTTTTTTTTTTGGGGGGGGGGGGGGGGGGGGTTGTGTGCTAAAGGTTTGGTGATATGAATTTATTTAAGTAGTATAGTTTTTGACCGCAAAAAATTGTGTCTTTTTACGTAGTCAACTCCACCTGATTGCTAGTTTGGTTTATATTTTCTTACCAATTTGCAGCGCTTGTTTTTTTGGGATACAAATGTAATTCAAGGATGCAACGTGTATTGGTGTGTTTAGTGTAACTTATTGTAAGAAAAATTAATAATCAGTAAATAAAATTTAAAAGCTCTCATTCTCTAAATTTTAGATAATCAATTTATTTAAGTTATTTTTACCTAATTAGCGGTAAACAGAAGTTGGACCAAGCAATTTGGACACTCTAAAATTTTTATATATAATAATAATAATAATAATAAAGTTTCAAAGACTTGGAAGCCATGTGAGAGGCAGAGAGAGAACTAGTATATTGTCTCATCCAAGGAATGCGGGTTGTTTGGTTATTGTTTATATTGAAGCTACTAGTAATAAGACCCTTTTAGTTTAGTTAAAATGGAGGATGGGCTTTGTAGATGTATATTTAGGAATTAAGATTTTTAGAACATCGGTTGGTACTATATTTTTTCAGTCTCATTATTTTGATAAGAGTCTCAAGAAATATAATTCAGATACAAGTGTGTAAAAAACTTTGGTAGATTTCAATCTCTATTTGACCAAGAATAATGGAATGTTCTCAGATCATACGAAATCTAACTATCTGATAAGGCCCGCTTAACATACCCAATTAGCATGCTAAGTAGATACATAAGTAATCTCAGTGCCTATCTTTAGAAGGCGATTGTGTGAGTACTAAGGTACTTAACGGTATAATCGAGATTATAGGTGGCATTACACTTGATATCCAGTTGTACCAAGAGGCGCGCCTACTGGATATATTGTCCATCAGTGGACTTGTTTTCACTTTTGGAGGTGTAACTGTGTCTTAGAAATCTTCTAAGAAGATGTGTATCACGAGGTCAATGATGGAATCAGAGTTCAGTGCTTCAAATAAAGCTATTGGAGAAGCTAAATGGCTCTGTTGTTTTTATTGAGGATATTCCACATTAATCGAAACTTGTGCTAGCAATTTTGTATACTTTGCGGCAACCAATTAAGTATTGGTAGGGCACAGAGTAATAAGTATAATGGAAGGTCTAAACATTTTCGTTGATGATATAATTTCATACAACAACTACTCTCGTGTGTTGTCACTATAGATTATGTACAGTCTAAGGACAATATTACGAATTCGTTAACCAAAATGTTAAATCGAGAATTAGTAAGAAGTCGTTAAGGGCAATGTGACTGAGGCCTTTTGCGAGAATGTTACTTGAATGAAAAACCCAACCTAGTTGATTGGAGATCTCAAGATCTAGGTTCAAATGGACAACCTAATCGTGTGTAACAACTGAGTCACTGTGGAGGTAAATCCCCATGCTCATTCCTGTATATAGTGATAGCCTGTAGGGTGGAAGGTTAAGCTGATGCTTTTAATGATCTGTATGTATTGATGAGTCAAGCATGGTATAGCGAGATACCTTAAAAAAAGGTTACCTATGTGAGTACGAAGTGGGGTTGCTTCTTTAAAAATTGACAAGGTCAAACTTTTTAAAAACATTCACTGAACCAGACGAGTGTTCCAGGGTCAAACAGGACACAACAGTGAGAACAGAACTATGGTAGGAGAATTCATGTGTGAGGTCTATTGTCTTGGTTTACACAAACAGCAGAACAACTCAAGATATCATGTTGACTAGTCAGCTAGTAAATTCGACAAACTTTCACTAGGACAAGTTGAACGCCAAAAGCTACCTTATCCAATATACGGATTTTTTGTGGTACTATCTTGTCGAGTCTTTGTTGTCTCTTATTCTTTCTTTATTCGGCCAATTTTATTTATGTAGGTGATTGTTAGAAAACTATAATTTTTCAACAACTTTAATGTGAAATTAAAGTGAGAAACAACCGCCGGTTAAGGTGGGTCTAAGTGGCTTTGTATTCTCTTAAATGAGAAGGTTACAATACAAAAATAATGAACTGAAACCATTAGATTGTGAATGAGAATTGTCTTATAAAGTAGGCATCAATAAAAATAGGGTTTAGATTTGGATTTAGTCTTAGTTTAAACTAGGTCTAGGCTTGTACGTGTGTTTGTACATGTGCTGGGTTTGGTCATGGACCTAGTCTTAAGTATGGGTTACGCTGTATTGTGTTGGATTTAGCTTGTTTATATGTTTGAGATTGGGCTTGGATCGGGTTGTGACCTAACATCTTTGTCTATTTTGCGATCCATTTGTTTGAATTATTCAAACATCATTATATACATATTTATTTGTATACATTAAGCACATGGGAGTTTTAGATTTTTATGACTCTCATTTTTTTATGATGGAATTGATGACCATATTAGTGGCTATGAGTTTTTAACCTTTGTAACTCTTGGCTTGGCTAGAGTTGATGACATTTGATGGCAATTTGATGACCCTATTGATGTTAACTTTCGGCTAAGGCTCTCGCCTACAAGTATAAATAGAGGTTTTTCCCCTTCAACTTAGAAAAAAAAAAAAAAAAAGGTTCAGAGAAGATTTTTTGAAATGGAGAATTTGTGATTTCTTTTTGTGAAAAAGTTGGAGATGTGTTTACACCAAAGGAAAATTCAAAAGTTTTTTTCCTTATCTTTTTTTAGCTAGCCCCTTCTTTAGTTCTTCTTAGAGAGAGAATGCTGACCTTTAGGTGTCTTTTGGGAAGTGGGTTGGCTTTTTTGTTTTTTGACTTTTTTAGCTAGTTTAGCTTGGGGCTAAAAGGCCTAGTTTGGGAAGGACTTTCGGCTTTTTAAACTTTTTTGTAAGAGAAAGAATGTAATGATTATTGGTTGGATGTGATATTTTGTCTTATTAAGCTAAAAAGCCTATTTTATTTTTTGTGGCTAAAATAGCCAAAAAAGCCCCAACCAAGGCTTCCCAAACGAAGCCTTAGAGCTACTCCTGCAGTAGCTGGTTTCAACTGTCGTATCCTGAAAGACAGACGCCGATGTTCCTCCAGAACCCATTGACAAGGTGACGAATCTATTTTAAGAAAACTGTGTAAACTAGAGATTTTGATTTGCTTCTTTTTCACAATTGTTAAAATTTTGATTCCACCGTGTGCTTGATCATATGCTCAAATGAGAAATTCATCAATAAAATTAGTTCCGATTGGACAATTTATCATTAATAGTTGGTATTTTTTGTGTGATGATATTTGGTTTCTTTCTAAGTATTAGAAATGTCTTTCAGAGTATTAATTGATATAATTGATATTATGGATTGTGGTAGAATAGCTTCCTGATAGAAAAGACAAGAAAAAAGAAAATTTATCTTCATTTTGCATACACTCAGTCAGTCAAAAGATTGTTGTTAATTAATTGTGTGACTGAACTATGAGATGTGAAGATTGTCAACATATATACAACATTGGATGATAGAGATTATAAGATGAGATGGAAATTCATATGCAAGTGTGGGACTAATCTTAGGATTCTTAGTACGCTATCATGTGAAATTAAACAAAAATGATATAGCACAATGATGATAATACGGATTGAATTAAAAAATAAACATCCAGAAACTAAATGAGGTGAACACCTAAGAGTCTAAGATAGACACAATTAGCCATACATACAGCAAGCAGCATGTAGAACTCATAAAACTCTGGCTTTTAGCAATCCATACCAAAAAAAGATGAAAAAAATTGGGATTTCTTAAAGAAGAAACCAAGGGAATACAAAGAATAAAAAGATTTAACTGCTAAAAAAAATATGAGAAGACACAGCATTTTTTGTGATTCCAAAAGAAGAGAAGGAGAGAGAGAGAGAGAGAGAGAGAGAGAGAGAGAATATGGCGTTAACGAAGAGAATTCAGGGATGGTTCAAATATCAAGAACGTCAAGCTCTGATCGTTCTAGGTGAATATGTATTAGGAAAATGTCTCGTACCTCAAATTTTGTGGCTCAAAAGTGGCTCAAATGGCCAAAACGATGTCGTTTTGGCCATTTTTATGTTGTTCTGTACTCAAAACGACGTCGTTTTGGCCATTTGAGCCACTTTTGAGCCACAAAATTTGAGGTACGAGACATTTTCCTTAGAAAAAATCTTTCATATGCAGGGAGGCATAGC